CCCTGCAAATTTTCTTCTTCTACAGTTTTAGACTAAAATATCTCCAAAATATGGTAAAATACAAAGTCTAACATTATCTGTAATAAAATATTACTTTGATATCAGCTGATATTTTACCAGAAAATCTTTGACGAGCAAAAATTGTTTCAAGAAATGTTATTGTGTGGTGAAGGGGTTTAAGGGAAAAGTTCCAACAAGAAATTTTCTTATGAATACATTAACATGGGAAGATTTCCACCCTACCCCTTCGCCCACTACTTTATGCATAACAGAGTGGGATTTACCAGTGAAATGAAAACAATTAATCAAATAAACAAATTCATCCTTTTTATTTTGATCATTACCAGCATGGTGTGAGGAGAGTTTGCTCCCTTTTCCTTCCTGTTGGTCTCGAAGTGTCTCGTACACAATCTGGATGATTGGCAGACAAAATGCCTGAAATATAATAATAATTACATCTTACCTAATTGAAATTTTGTTTCAAAATGCGAAAGGTCAATATACTTCTTGAAAAGAGAGAAAAATTTAAACTTGGTTTTTAATTAAGTGATATCATTCCTTACCCCCGTTTTTCCACTTCCAGTTTCTGCTGCCTGTCAAATATAAATTCTGTTGGATAAAATTATTATTAGAAACCTTAAGATTAGTAAGAGTTCCCTTGTGTGTTTACAAATTAATATGTGAATGAGCTATAATCCTATTTTACAACAGGTCTTTATTCTCATTTGTTTAAAATGTGCCAGTTTCTTTTTCTCTGTGTTTGTGATCAGTCTGCTGTCAGTAGAAGAATTCCATTAACAGTTTACATAAAAGTGCAAAATTTTTGGGGGGGAGTTTCTACAGAAGTGTGTGTAATACTGATATACCATTAAAACATCCCCTCCTCCCAGGATCATTGGAATGGCTTCAGCCTGCACATCTGTGGGCAAACTGAAACGACAAAGAAAATTTGCAAATATACTCTCGCCATTTTGACTTAATTTGTTCTTTAACACTTGACATACATGTTAATCTATAGTGCACTTTAGGCAAAGTTAAAACAATGTACTACAGTTTCATCCATGATCACAGAGATCAAATTTTGATGCAAAAAATACAATTTCCTTCTAAAGTGAATTCATGGGCAGCTACCTCATTATATTCTATCATGGAAAAATGAATGACAGTGTATGTAAAGAACCATGGTATTTTTTTATATGACTGTAATTGTCAATATGAAATTCAAAACAAAGAAAACTTGCTCAAACTTAAAGCAAAGGAAGAGAAAAGTTCTTTAGCAGTTGGGAATATTGAAACTTTGAGAACAATTAATTTTTCTTTAACACTTGACACACATGTAGATTTATTTGGAGTTTTGAGACAGAAATTTTTTAGTAACCAAAGCAATAATGTTCATCAAAGTCAAAAACTGATTAAAAATTTGTATCTTAGTGTAATACTTGTGTGCCAAGTTATATTGAAATCAGACCAAAACTGTAAAAGGAGTTCACCCATGATTTCTACAGAACCACAGCATCAAAATTTGATATACAGAATTTTGTATCATGCAAAAAATACAATTAAAATATACCTGCTCTAAATCAAGTGTAATTAGTGTAGTCTACTTGTGTGCCATTTTATATTGAAATCAAACCAAAACTGTTCTATCATGGAGTAAAGAATTTCATAGAAATTTCTATTTTTAAATAATAGCAACACCGCTTATTGAAATCAAAAATTTATACACAGAATTATGTATTTTAGTGTAGTCTACTTGTGTGCTAAGTATATTGAAATCAGACCAAAACTGTAGGAGAACCATTATGTATCTTAGGTATTTTTTTGCCATATTGAAATCCAAAAACTGTAGGTGGAACATGTTGAATTTCATGAAAATTTTTAAACCACACCGTTTTTCTTTTCACTGATAATAGAATTATGTATCTTATGTAGTTACTTTGTGCCAAGTTATATTGAAATCAAGATTTCTATGCTTTTAGGTAGGCAACACCGTACAAAATGATACAAGAATTTACTTTGTGTAGTCCAAGTTATATTGAAGGTCAGCATTTTGAAAAATTGTTTAGTGACAAATATTACGTTTTCTCTGACATAGCTTGTCAGTTGAAACACATAGTCATAATGAATATGATCTTCATTAAATCAAAATGACTTATGCTTATGGTATTGTACAAAATGACACCAAGAATCATGATAGTCAAATATTATGTATATAGCTTGTATAAATGCAACAACACCAAAATAACATCAATATATTTCATCCAATTTTTCTTGAGGTAAACCGTAAAGATAGGGTAATGCAGAATTAGTAACAAATGACCATGCATATATTAAAACAAAAAGCATCTAATAACAAGAAATTAACAGTCATGTTTCATAATAAGTTCAAAATATCTGACGTTTTCCAGGCTTTTTTTCACCATTTTGATATTTTACGTGCCAGGAAAACATCATAACCGGCGCCATTACAAAAACTAGGAATTCTCCACCTCAAACCTGAGGCAGCATTCTCAGGTTGATTTTCGATACTGGCAAACCAAATTGAATGACAAACTAACTATTTATCAATAGTACAAAACTTTTGGTACTCATCAACATCCCTTTCTATGGTTCATTTACAAAATTATATGAATTATAATAATAATTTATATAAATAATTAATAACATAATATTGGTGAGTAATAGATGCATTGTGCTATTGATAAATTGCGAGTTTGGCAATTAATTCGGTTCGCAAGTGACCAAAATCAATTCAAGTTGAAGACGACGAAATTTCCAGTTTTCATAATGGCCCCGTTTCCGACGTTTTCCTGGCACATAAAATATCAAAAATATAAAAAATGCCAGGTAAACCTCAGATATTTCAGACTAGTTTCATAAATGTTTCAAAAATTTTTTTTAAAAATACCTCCAATCCATTTCTTCCACTGCCTGTCCAAGTTCTGGCATGACACCCATTTCTAAAATATCAAATCAAGTCAAATGTATTCTAATTTGTATATTCTAAATGTATATATACACAGACTGACACAGGGGCATATTCCTGGCCCTACTAAATAGATAATCCTAGACTAGAGCATTCAATATAAACTTGGAGAACGCTTGTAATATTTAATTATTTGCTACATATAATTCAACTGTTTATTGTGTGTAATGTTCAATGTGTATCATACAAAACAAAATATCTGCGTTGCTGATGTTGGACATTGCTGAATAGGCATCATTTTCTATTACGCAATTTATATGCAACATTGCCGAAAAACACCATTTTTTCTATAGAACGTACTAATGCTTTGGCTGAGAAAAAAATAACAGACATGTGCACTGAAAATAAAACACAATTACCTTCGAATGCAGTCATTTTTCAGTCTTTTACCGGTGGACGAGTCTCACGTTGAAGTTTTGTGTTGGAATAAACGGAATACCGATCCCGACTAATTTTCCTCAACATCTGAAATGGGCCAAATGATTTTCTATATGTTCCTCATCAACCTCGCAGTTTTAACTCCGTCAGAAGACGTCCTCTTCTTTAGCTTGCCAATAAAAATACAACTGGATACTTAAAGCCCTAAGGGATTGACATAACAATACAGATACAGAAGATAACTCATTTTCATGTATCCAATGAACCCATTCCTCTTTGTTTCAACAGAGGTGTAGCCACGGAGATGAAAACTAGAGACAATGCTGTTTTTAATATTATTTATTCACATCGTTTTAAACACACTGGAATGCTATTATTGCACCATTTAACCAAAATATTATGAACTTTTGGCAAGTCTTTTGCTGTCAGTTAATACTGATTTTCTTCCCTCAGTGAGCTGCCTTAAAACAACATTGTCAACAAAATTTGAGAAAAATTTGGACAATTCTTTATACCTTGAAACAAAGATCTATATGGATTTCTAAAATTATCACAAAATATCAATGAAGTTCAAAAAAGTATAAAATTAAAAATTCTGTAGCCTTTACTTCATACAAGTCTTTATGCATTTTTTTTTCTCCAATTGATTTATTCCATGGTAAAACTGATTTTGTCTTCCCTCTCCATGTCAAAATCGCCAATATTCGAGGCAATTTCACAGAAAATGTTGCCACATCAGTATAAATAATGAACACTAATGATTTTATTGATGGCAAGTAATACTTAAAAATTCGGATGAAAAGGCTTTTTGCAACCACTTCTTTCATATTTTACATGGATATAGTTAACAACCCTTAAAAAAAAACTTTAAATAGTTCCCTGCCCGATGCTTTTTTTTTAAAAGTACATATATATATATTTATTTTCACAGACCTCTTTCAAAACAACCAATGTATATTCTAAGATCATACATTACCTTTCAAACGAATCACGACAATGGGTTCCCCCAAAAATACTGAATTGACTTCCTTCATGACAATATCTGCACAAAAACTGGATGTCAATATGGCAAAAATTTGAGATCATTTATTTTCTTTCAAGATATGGATACCATTTGAAATGAAGAAGTATTTCAATTTAGTATATCCATGCACTTAAAAAAAGATACAAGATCTTTTTTTCTTCTCAGAAAGATATGATTATAAAGTAAGTACTTCAACGCCACTGGTTTTAGAAATTATTCATCTTTAAATCGTTCAAAATTTAAAATAAGTATCCATGATTTTATATATTTTTGGACCTTTTCTTCTCAAGTAAAACAAGAAAACTTTGCTGGACATTGAAACTACAATATTTCAACATGAATTTCAATAACTTAATTTTTTAGCACAAGAAAAATGGAGTCTTGCTAATCAAAGTTTATAGTCCTTTGTAAAAGAACCAAAGCTTAAATGGTCACATTTAAAAACCCATATTTGGGCCTTAGATTCCTCATTTCCACCCCTCCCCCCCTCAAAAAAAAATGTTTTTAAATAGTATATTTCTCTATCGAAAAAAAAAAAAAAGGAAAGAAAAAAATATTCTTAACATTTCTTTTAACATATATCGGGGGAAAAAAATGCAAAAAAAGAAAAAATACCAGCCCAAAATTTATTGACAAAAAAATTACAAGTACAATCCAGTTCAATTTATACGAAACAATACTGAAAAACATGTCTGAAAATGAAATTCGTAAAAATTAAAAATACTTTTAATTATTCTTTCAATAAAAATCATAATACTCCTGCAATATGAAGTTTCTTCGAAAAAAAGGAAACAAATCTAACAAAAAGTATTATCAGTTCTACTACTGGAGGCTGGGTTATTTTTTATCTTCAAATTTTAAGTATACAGGAAGATCTACAATGAATTGATACTCCAATTAACTAAGGTAATCGAGGGAACATGAATATTTTCAAATTGCAAAACATCAATTTATGAAGATCATTACCACACTTCATGATATGAACACCTTATTTTTCGAATAACAAATAATCTAACAGTAAGCCTTTTATAAGCAATTTCGAGTTACAACTCTGACAAAAAATGATGAACTTAACAAGAATGATTCCACAGTAAAAACCAGATCATGAACATGCTTATTCACAAAAAAGACACAATACGCAAAACAATTCCATCTTGCTAAAAATTTCAATGAATGTAAAGAAACATGAGCAAGTTACACACCAGTTCTGTACACATTATGAGTCATTGATAACATGATCATTTAAATGAATGATAAAAACAGTTCATAGGCAAAGAGACAAGAAAATACAATGAGGAAAAAAGTTTATACATTGTAGTTGTCCATTTATGGGAAAATATGTTACAAAGTGAGGGTTAAATGAAAAGTGTGTGTTGTCACATGCCCCATACTGTCCTTTGGATCCACTCCTCTGTTGTAGCTTCCTGATATTTACTGACCATTCTCACTCACTTCATTACTCTCACCATCCACCAGTACAACCTCCTGTCAAATGAAGCAACATTTGTCTCAACATCTGTTATTAGGTAAATGTATTTATTAATTTATTGCAAGAGGGGACGGGGGGTCGTTATCATTTAGTTTTTTAATTTGGGGTGGTGGACCTAAAATTGAATTCTTACAACAGGAAGTTTATAAAACTAATCTACTAAATATTTATAAAATCCTACCACACTGATTAATTCACTTCTTTGTTAATTGTTTCACTGTTATGGTTACATACATGTACAAATGAAATATTATGCAAAATGTAAATCTACAGCATCTTAAACAAAAGTTGCACTTTCAAGGTTTACCTCTTTAACAGTAACCTCAACTGTTTCTTCCTCCTGAAAAATAAGCATATTTTATAACATATTTGTCAGTAGAGTAGAATCTCTTCAATAGGAAAAATTAATTTTGAGATTTGAAAAAAAAATTGATAGCATGATGTCAATTTTATTTCGGGCTGTCATATTTGCAGCACTGGATCTGCATGATAAATACAAAATGAAAGTGCTTGTCAGAAAATGATGGAGTCCAGTATTCAACTTGACAAAGCCTTATGTTTTTGGAACTTGTGTCCAATCCTTTTGTCAATAAATATGTTCAAAACAAAACAAAACAAAGCCCTTGTGAAAACCCTTCCAGAGCAAATTCAAATTTTTTTTTACCACTTTGTATATGCTGAGGTTATGTTCTTGTTGTGCATGTTGACAGAGTTCCCATGCCGCTGCAAACTCAGCATTACACGTTGCACACACCAGCTGGGAAGGCTCAGGGGACTCTGAATCAAAGAAAAAAAATCCTAATTAAGCAAGCAAATATCAATTGTTCTTACACATTGCAGTGTTTTCCCAAAGAACCAGCTACCAACCAAATTGACTTTACTTGATAAATTTGCCACATTAAAAATTTTTTTTAAAGTAATTGTTGTTAGGCCCTTAGTGATTTTTTTTCTAAACATCAACCCTCTCGCCTGTTACTATTGATCTCTATTTACCCTTTACTTTAAATTTAAGGGAAAGCACTGACATTGTAAAATTATAAATCTTCCCATTATTTGGAGTTTCAGTTGAGGGAATGATTTTGATAATTATATCATAAAGGACAGTGAATCTGATTGGATAACCCACCTGGAGGAGGGGTACTCTGACACTGACAGGAGATCTTAAGTCGACACGGCGTCTTCTTGTGTTGGGCTAGACTATGGAGACTGCTGAATGACGTCTTACACACACCACAAATCAATACATCTTTGGCAGCTGCAAAATAAATGTCCATAAATGTAGAGATTTGTCTGTAACTTTCAAAATTAATATCTTAAAATATTTACACTGGTAAATGCAAATTTATTAATTTAACAAAAAATAAGAGATAAATTTTCTCAAGCATGACTTCTCTCTTTCTAACATGAGATGGCAAATGAAAGCAACACAAAGTTTACCCTGTGCAAGCTGAGTAATAGTTTTGCTGGCTGGAGCGGTAGAACTGTTTCCAGAGGTAAGATTCACCAGTGTCCTCTTGATGCCCCCCGTTCCTGAGTCTGTCCTCATCTTCTTGGCTGGAGGACCACTCTGTGTGCTGAGGAGACGTGACGCACCACTAGACAAATAAAATTTGTTTTTGAAATAACAATTCACTTTTGATTACAAATAAGTATCTTTGGTCCCATTTTATTTCAATGAACATACTTACGGAGGATTCCAACTGAGTACTACTGAATATGAAATAAGCCATACCAAAATTCTTTTATCAAATTTTAATAAAATCATATGTCTCAATGTTTTCTCTATTTAAAAAATGCAATTTACAGGTTAAATACAGTGAAAACTGACACTGGAGCAATCTGTTTTACTGTAAATTCATCTGCAATATTATATTTTCAATTCTTTTTACAGGCCCCCTCTTTATAACGTGACATCTTGCCTATTCCTATATGAAATTTGTGTCCAAGTGCATGTCAGAATTAGATAGGTTTTACTCTATATTGATACACTGTACCATCTTAGTTTACAAAAACTTCAATGACATTTATGTAAACAACAGTATTATACCTGGAAGTCTGTGAAGTGGGTGTTGTCTTTTGATTTGGTCTGTGCTTTGGCTCAGAGGCAATATTGATATCTATAAAAGTTCACTTAAGAGAATAACTAATCAGAAATTTCAAACTCTTAAAGTTTATCAATGGATACAAGTATAGACAAACTTCAACTCTATGACACTAAGAAGTATTGGATGTATCAAGGTTAAATTAAATAAGGAAAAGTGATTGGGACATCCAACTCACTTTGTCATATTTGTGGTATTTTAGACATCAATTTTCAAGATACTGAAGTTCAACTGAACTTTAAACAAGATAACAAAACATTTACATGATTGATAACAAGTACACACCTAGAGCTTGTCCTGCATAAGTCATTCCATCCTCAGCACCACAGGCTCGCCGAGCATCCAGCTGATTGCTGTATTGAACAAAGGCATAACCCTTATGCATGGAAAGTCCTGTGACAATCCCATAACGACTGAAGATTCCTTCCACATCTTCCTTTGAAAGAGCAATAGTGTTCAAATTTCCTACAAAAACTCTGGACCTGGCTGTATTGGGGTCATTTGTCACACTTCCTACATTGGCAGCTGGCCCAGAACTATAACTTTGTGTACTCATTTGTGGAGCCATTCCCCTTGGAGCTCTGTGTCCAGGGCCTATTGGACCGGGCCCACCGTGTCTAGGAGCTGGTGGTCTTGGACGCATCATTCTTGGCATCATTTTTCACACTCTAAAATTTTCTGCTTAAAAGAAATGATTGACAGCCATAGTACTCTATAAATAAACAGAACGCCGTTTACAAAACACGGACAGGTCACGGAAACACGGATTCACGGAAATATAGAAAATAGTACAAATCACGGATTGTTTTTTGCACGGATGATAATTCCGTCCGTGCATCTCCGTACGTTAAAAAATCAACATGAATAATCCGTGAGATCTATAAATAAAAATAAAACAAGTGAAGTAATATTCACGGAATTTATTTATAGGGAGAAAATGTTACAATATTTAATAACGAAGATTTATATAATAAACATGAACTCTTACAATCCATACATTTGATGGTTTTAGACTTTCTAATTTGTTTTTCACTAAGCGTTGTATTTTGACATCGTGGATGAAACCACTGACGACACTTAGTGCAATTAAACATGAATCCATGTTCAGGCATTCTGCACGTGCAAAACAACTTCATCTCAAATGTAAACTCTATTGACTGCTGGCGTTTACACGGAGATGACGGAAATTTACGGAAAATTCCGTCAGTGATACATTTCATCAAATGGGGCCTCATTGCTTCAGTGTGGAAATGAGTATTTTCTGGAAGTCCACAGAAACATATCTCTACCGCGTTTGCAATGGCATAGAGACCACAGTCGTTGCCATTTACCTGGACATCAGAATTCATAAAGTGAACTGTAATGTTTTCCTCTGGAGAATGCATTATATTAGCAATGCTCATTTGAACGGCTGATGAAATTGAGTTTGACATTGCGCTATCATAAAGTTTAACGCACGAGGATGCAAATTTCACATTCATAGTTGTAAACATAATCCAATGAGTTTTAGGGTGTGTATTAACAATTTGAATAAAATTGTCAACAACTGGGCGAAAGCACGGCTTTTCAGCATAGACACAAGGCTGAAAGCCGGCAATGAAGGGGAATTGTTTGAGCTGCATCGATCAAGGTATCGTCGAGCCATCCGTTATCTACGGTACCATTAATCCGCCCAAGTGATTCATCCGTGATTGTTACACCCACGGATTCAACACTTGCACGGACATCACGGACATCAGCTGTTTCCTCTGCACGGACATTACGGGCATCAGCTGTTTCCTCTGTCACGGAATGGTCGTCTGCTTCAAATTTTGCTTTTTTGCCAGCACTATCTTCAGGATATTCACATTCAACATCCCCAGGCCTTGGCTGCTTCCTACCTGGCTTCTTTTTACCACGGGCATTTTTCCGTAATACTGTCAGGTTTACGGATTTTGTAGACACTGACGTGTCAACATCCATTCTTAGTGATAATTTGACCGACATAATATGACAGCAGTTGTTGGGAATAAGGCAGGAACATTTTTCTTTGGGAAAGACCTGAACCGTATATAATTGTCCCGTAAACCCCATTACAACAAAACATCCCATTTTAGGAACAAACGAAATTATGTCACCTGATATAATTTCTTTTGACTTTGCAATTTTTGTCAGGTTTGAGGATTCCGTAGATTCCTCTCGTTCATCCGTGAAGCAGAACTCTGAGTTTTTAATTGATTCTACAATAGACTTGTAGTTACGGACAGAATCCGAGTTTTGTTTATATTCATCAAGAGAAATCTGTAAATGTTGGTATTCTGATTTTAGAGTAAAATTCCCTACACCAGCTTTGCCTCGTCTCACTTCACCAAGATAATATTGTTGTAAGAATCGGAAGGATAATACAACAGCATCTATTGGCCCTTCCTTCCAGTTGTTGAGATCTTTCATTAACCAGTTAAAACCCTCACTTTGGTTAGATGTTACACCATTTTCGGGATGCATTTTAACAAATTTTTCTACATAGGCTACATATAAAATATTTTTAAAGTTCGATGATAAAGGAACATACACTTCTTTCCTAAACCTTTTGTCTGTAATTCTTTTTCTCCCCTCCGTAGCAATATGCAAATAGTAATAGGCTAATACTTTTTTAATTCTCCGGAGTTCCCTTTCACTTTCCGGGTTCCTTCACATGAAAAGCTACGCATAAGAAAGGAAAGAAAGATAAGAGATAGAAAGAAGAGAAAATCGATAGATTAAAAAAGTATAAGAACCGTTTTTTACAGCTATATATTTATTAATTATAAATCTTTGAAATATACCTATGTCCATCTGCAACCCAATCTCTATTCTCCATTTCATTTGTTGGATGAAAAACATAAACTTCGCCACCTTTTGGGCGAAATGGCATTTGTGAATTATGTTCTTTATATAACATTAAATGTTCAACATCTCTAACACTAAGGCTAGAGTGCCTATTCGAAATTATAGGTTGAACTTCTGTAGCTTTATCGTCATCCATCTCGCGCCAAATCCTAGTTCTATTTGTGACGTCACCGTGGATACCATTGTTACGTATACAGTAAAGCTATACGGATTTCCGTAAACTATAAAAGTTAAATGATAATAATAACTACGGAATAATAAAAAAAAAATATTATCCGTAATATAAATTTTCCGTATTCCGTACATAAAACTTTATCCGTGATTTCTCCGTATTTTGTAAACTTATTTCCGTATTCCGTGCATCCGTATTCCGTGACTTATCCGTGTTTTGTCAACCTCCTAAACAGAATTCATTTTTCTTTGTACTCCTACTCCTTGTATAAGATTTACTGACAGAACACAGTCACAATTCTTCAAACATGAAAATCGTTTTAAACCATATGGTTTGCATATTATTATAAATCATTTACTGAATTAAAAAACAGATCTGGTTCTAAGCAATAACTGCAAACATGCTGCTGACAAAACATAGCAGAGGAAACTCGGTCATGATCATCATGTCGGTTTCTTTACTTGTAGTTAACAGAATATCATATAAAGCCGATATCTATACAAAAGATTAAGAGATATTTAATAAAATAATTAACAGTTTTTTATTGTAAAGTAATGTTCCTAAAATTTCAATAATTTGATCATGCGCATGGCATGGGATTTCTGCGTTCTCAAAATGAACGCAACAGCACATTATTGCTTAACTGGTGTGTATAGATGATAATTATCCTAACTGAACATTGTTTCTTTAACATTTCTTGAGTTGTAAACAAACCTTAATTGTTTCTTTCACAGAAGTTTTAGATGCAGCATTCTACTCCATTTTTCTCGCGGGGAAATGGAGACCGACACACTTCCGGCAAGCGGTATTTCTAGTCTTCCCGTCTCCCGACGCCCGACTCCCGACGGTCCCGGATTTGGGATTTTTAGCGATTTCTTTTTTACCGGTGCACAGAATTGAATCAAACTTCCCAGGCACATTTTCTAGGCTTACATGAATACATTAATGCATAAAAACTTAAGGAAAATTGTCTTTTTATTACTGAATCAGCAGTATCACCTGCCAAAAAGCGGTAAATCTAGTACTCTGTTGTAAATGTTAAAACCAAAAACGGACACCGATGTTTTCGTAAAATCGCGATTAAAACAACAAAATGAAGTATAATTTTTTTAACAAATAACTGGAAAACATCATTTACGTGCCAGATAATTTGTACACACTAAAACTAACATATTTTCTTTTTTAAATTAAAATTTAGTTATGCTCATTTATTATCGATACATAGCGATGAGCGGAGACGTGAGGTTTCGTAGATCATAATCATGATAATATTGATATTGTTTGGGAAGATATTTCTTCTTTAAATAAGATAGAATTGGTATTTCAGTTAAATTGGTTGTATTCAAAAAATAGGAACAGTTTAATTTTATAAATTCCATAAACATCAAAAATACTTTTTAAAGTCGGGTTCCATTTCTACATTTCTACTGAATATATGCATGTATATATTTATATTTTTCAAGAGTGTTGGTAAAATGGGTAGGCAAACCCGGGCCGGGGCAAATTAAAAGCCGGGGCAGATCGAGATTTTTCATATTTCCGTCTTCATACTTTATCGATCGAGCTGAAATTTTCAGAATCTATTTAATACACGATTATTAATATTCGCTGCTAAAATTGCACTGAAATACTTTATAATTCTGATTTTATAGGCGATTATAGATTTTCAAGTTGGTAAAATAGGTAGGCAGTTTCCCAATGTCCCAATTTACGTTTTCAGACATATGCTACATAAAGTCCATAAATTTATGGATAATTCTGGTGTTTAAGAATATATATTAATCATTTATTAATATTTCTTCCTTGGTTATTGTAATATTTACGTAAAATTACATGTTTTAGGAAAAACCGGGTCATTAAAACCGGATCCGATCACCCGGGACAAACCTGAAAATTCCGGAATAATTGTACAGGTGACCTGTTTTTACTGGAGAATGTTTGTCATCTGAAAAAAAAATGCAAATCGATTTGTTGGAAGCTTGTGTTTAATTATTTAAATAGAAATAATTTATTTATTAAATTTGCACTAACATAATTAATGCAGAATCCCTCACACTGGCTTTAATATAATCACACACAAGCTCTCTTGATCAATTTGGGCAATACAAAATTGGCTTACCTTATTAGGTTAATTATCTCAGGGAAAGAAGCTGGGAAGAAAATTGTTGTGATGTTAAAAAAATTAAAAGGTCAAAGTGACATCTTTTGACAATTATATACTTTAACAAGTTGAGTTGATTTTCAGGGACCCTATATATTCCTCCTCTGCAGTGAACTTTCTTTAGTTCATTTTAGATGCATCCAGCAGTTGTCAGTCTTCTGTATGTTTCTTATATAAATGTAGGTATAAGGTCTTTATGAATAAATAAATAAATGTTTGTTATATGATCAATATGTTTTACTTGTCATCTCATCGGACAGGAAAATTGAATTGATATGCTGTATGGGTTAAATAATGGGGGAATCTTATAAGTAGCAAAAGAAAGTTAAATCAGTTAAATATATATATTAAAAAGACAGCATATTGGTTCAATCAGGTATAGTATAACATGTATGGATACCTAACGGTGACAACTAAGTACATGTTTTTCCTTATTTTGTGTTCAACATCCATCACTCTCCTTTCATATCTGTGTCCGAGTTCCTTCGGGAGCTTCTGGGAGGAGATAATGCTGGACTCGGGGTTTACTGCCATATAACTGTATATGTTATATCAAGTATTCACCCATTGCACGTCCTAACTCCCAGCCAGATATTACAAAGGAAGGAGAGATATACACGTACATAAGAATGTATACTTTAATATTGATTTCCAAATAGCATGAAGAGAGAGAGAGAGAATCTTGGATTCTTGGATTTGTGACTTGCCTTTATTTTTAACAATTCAGATATAGACGTATTATATATAAGTTATAAAGGATCATCATTCACTTCAATAATTGCTAAATAATAATTACAGATTTATATACAACGTTTAGAAAAGTTTAAATTTATTATATATTTTTCATTTTTATTATTTTTATTATAGTTATGTCGAGATTAAAAAGCTGACTATAAGTGTTTATTTCAATTTATTTTACTACAAATTAGGAGAAGCAATGTGTCCAGAATATGAAAATGGTGACCATGTAAACACCAGCAATATGGTATTCTATGTTTAATAATCAACATATAAAAATTAAAAAATATATATATATAATTAAAAACAGAAAAGAAAATATATTTCATGAATATTTTTAAATATTTTTCTTGAATCAAATAATGTGTAATCTAATTGAATATTGGCATTAAATTCTTTTTCATTTTGTTTATTTGAATTTTAGTAGATTTTTCTAATTTATTTATTTTTTTTAATTGTAGGATGGAGCAAAGCACACATAAGGTTGTTGTATATGGCAACAACTCAAACAAATTACCAAGCAAGGAGGCTATTCAGATTCTGCAGAATCCAAAGGAGGATTTGGTGTCTACAATACCCCCTGTCAGACCAAAAGCAGGCGAAATCTACTTAATTACTGATGAAGGCGATGAGAGGCGAAAAAATGACTGGTCCCATGACAGTTACATTTGGGTTAATAAAGGTGGGGATGGCTATCCCAGGCAAAATGCAGTTGTATGGAGAAAGACTTATAACATAAGTACTAAAATTGCCGACAAAACAGGTTCTGCTGGTTTTCAGCGAGTGTCCTTTAGATTGACTACGAATTCACCATTAGTGCTAGTTCAATACATAGGGGATGAGAGCATTTTTGTACCAAGGCCTCATGGAAATCAGAAGTCTAATGCTAGTGGAGATTTCGTTTCAACATTACCATCTGTTATTTCAAAGATGAAAGACAATTCACTACAAAGCAAGCCACAGGAAGTTTATCGCAGTATGGTGCTAGATGGCAATGTTAGTGGAGAATATCAGGGAGTTTTGAACCCCAGAAATGCAGAGCAGGTCAGGAACGTTCAGAGGCAAATGAACAAAGCCAAAAAACTTACACATGATGAAATCTACAATACCCTTCAACTTGCGTTCCACTTGGACGACTATGTGCATCAGCTAACAATATTTCCTGATCTTCAGTGCTTCGTGGCAAACAAGGAACTACTCATGGAACTCAACAAAAATCTTCAAGTAAAGTCAAATGAAGTTCCTCTTCTGTCATATGACACAACATTTCTCATTGGCGATTCTTATGTTTCAGTTCTGGTTTTTAAACATGTTTTGTTTCAGTGCAGTCCATCAATCCCTGTTGCATTTTACATCCATGACAGGAAATCGGAGGAAATCCATCATGATTTTTGGAGGAAAATATGCAGCCTGGTACCAAACATCGACAGGGAATCCACTGTGATTGTGACAGATAGAGAAAGAGCTGTGGTAAATGCCATCAAGAAGAAAGTGCCCAATGCTACACTAGTACATTGCTGGAATCACATCATCAGTGATGCAAAGCACTGGATAAAACAACATGGAGGAAAGGGTGATGACCAAGCAGTTTATATTAGTCATCTTAGGGAGATACTACAGACTTCATCTATTGAAGAGTATGAGGAAAAACTTGCAAACTTGTCTGAGATTTGGAGTGAATCCTTCCTTGACTACTACCAGACAAAGCTCCATCAGGATATTGTAGCGCATTCATCAAAATGGGTACTAGACAGCCATCAAGTTTACGATCCCTATTCTGGTGTAACAAACAATATGTCTGAGAGTATGAATGCAGTCATAAAACGACTGATGGAATGGAAGCAGGCACCTTTAGATGCCACAGTATTAGCCTTCAACTACCTGCAGAAATTCTACGTACATGAGATTATGAGGGGACTGTGCAATGTAGGAAATTATAGGTTAAAGGGTATCCATTCAGGGGCTGCAGCAGATAAAAGTGATTTGATGTTTCCAACAGATATTTGTGCACCAGAGAAAATAATAGATCTTGTGAGAGGAAAGTTGGCAGAGGAAAGAACAAGTAGTATGAAGGATGACCAAGAGAGCAATGTGCCACTCAATGCAACAACAACTGAAGAAGAGAAAAGCGCAAGTACAACACAAAGATCCTTGGCAATAGCAGCAGTTAAAGAAAAACGAGTTTTTCATGTTCCTGAGGCAGGTTCTTTCGTGGTTAAAGGGTCAAAGGGGGATAACTACAGTGTGACATTGTATCCTGAAAAATGCCAATGCCCATCACTTGGTACTTGTTATCATATCATGGCTGTCAAAATGAGCATCGGGGAAGAAGACATAGAAGAAAAACGGGTACTCAATTTAACACAATTGAGAAAGAACAGCAGGAAAAGAGCCAACAAGAAAGCAGGAACCAAGAAACCAAGACCATGTGATCAAGATATTTCAGTAATAGCTGCCCCGGATTCAGCTGTAAAAAGAAATGCAGAATGGGAAGAATGTATGGATTCTCCTTTGCCCGCACTGCCTCTAACAGATATGAAGCCTGCATCCATAATGAAAAGAAAACGACCAGATGAGAAAGATGGGAAAGCGACAGCAAGAAAAAGAATCAAGTTTGAGGATGATGATGTTGAACCTGAACAAATTCATATAGAGGAAGATGTTGCTCAAATATGCGAACATGAAACTGCCGATGAAAGAAGAAAATGGACAGAAAATGGGAAACAAAGGCTTACGATAGAACATAAAAATGACATCCTGAATAACTATATGTTGTGCAGTGACATCATCAATTTCTCGCAAGAAATCCTGCAGCAGCAATTTCCAAATATCCAAGGATTTCAGCATACAGGATATGCACCGATGCTTAAAGAGGATAAATGGGAGTACAAACTTCAGATGAAACCCATGAAATCTCCTGTGGCACAAATCCATCACACTGGCCACAGTCATTGGATTGCAAGTACTCAACGTGAGGGAGATGAAACCATCAAGATATTAGACAGCTGTAACAAAAAGAGAGATTATATTTCACAGTCGACACAAATCCAGCTTGGAAAAATATATGGCGATGGGAAAAAAACTATCAAAGTGTCAGTAGAAGAAGTTAAACAACAGCAAAATGGAGTGGATTGTGGGGTGTATGCCATTGCCAATTTGACAGATTTTTGTTTCACAGGTAACAGTGAACAGCCAATTAACTATGATGTCGATAACATGAGAAGTCATTTGGTGAAATGTATTGAAGGAAAGAAATTCACACCATTTCCAAGAAACCCAAGTCAAAAGAAAAGACTGAGCCTCACCAAAAAAGGCAAAGTACACACAATTCCACTTGACTGTGCAGCACGGTGCAATCTGCCAAACATCTTTGACAATATGATTGCTTGCGACACTCCATCTTGTCAGCAATGGTTCCATCAGAAATGTGCAGGTGTTTCAAACCCAGGTGACAGTTTCCTTTTCAACTGTCCCCAATGTAATGCACCAACTTCTCCCTGTTTTTAATCATTACAGTCAAAAGACTAGTGCTATTTATAATTAAGTGATATTAAATTACTTATTTGACTGTTTTAAACAAACTGAGTCTGGGCCCTGGTAGGGCGTCGTGGTGACCACGATAAGAACAGTTTGTATGTTTTAAATAAAAAAAAAAAAAAAAAAATTAAAAATTTAAAAAACACAAAAAAATGTACATATTAAAATGCACAGTTCACTTTTAAATATTATATCAATATCAAGACTCAAGAAAATCTTTAATTTAGTGCTCCGTGAGTAAATATTTAATTTCAGAATAGTGCTAAATCAATTTAAATTTTAAGATTAAATCAAAAATTCATTCCAAAAACCCATTTTTCAAACTGATTATTTTAATTAATAAAAATAAAAAAGGCTCTTATGAGGATACCTCCATGTGGTTAGAGCTGGGCAATGTCACAACAGTGATAGCTAACATCCTCCAATACAAACATTTATTAATTCGGAATTTTCGGGTTTGCCCCGGGTGATCGGATCCGGTTTTAATGACCCGGTTTTTCTGAAAATGCGCATATTTTGCATATTTTAAGCTTTTATAATGTAAAACTAATTATATTTCGTTAATATAGAGTGTAAACTATTGGAAAAGTCCATAATTGTAAAGGCTTAACTAGTCGTGATTCAAAAATACCGTAAAATGTCGTATTGATTTTGCCTACCCATTTTACCAACCTGGAAATGAACAATCGCCCAGAAAATCAGAAATATCGCGTATATTGTGATGATATTAATAGCGAATACAAAAGAACCTTCAAAAAACAAAATCTGAAAATTTCAGATGAATTGGTGGAGTTTTAGCGGAGATATTTGAAAAACCTCGATCTGCCCCGGCTTTTGATTTGCCCCGGCCCGGGTTTGCCTACCCATTTTACCAACACTCATTTTTCAATGTTATATTAATAATGTTTACTTGTACATGTATGATTTTGACCTTGTATTGTGGAAAGGACTTATATAGGCAGTGCCTGCTGTCCAATCCAATTATGTTTTATCATAATAAAATATTGTTTAAATAAAAGTCGGGTTCCTTAAGAATTTCAATCATAGATTTTTTTTTACATGTTAATGAAGAAGATAATGACTTATTATAAAAGCTTTATCAAAGCAGTGTTAGCTTGGGTAAAATAATTAATTTCCTAATCACTTAGCTGATACGGTGAAAACGAAGAGATATTCTGTAAAATTAAAAAAAGGTAATTAAGTATGGTAAACTGCTGCTAAATCAAAGCTATTAACCATGTTAATATAATTCTAAAACTTGTAACTGGGAACAAACCATTGTCCTTAAAATATTAATTACCGGTAATCTGATCATGTTTTTATTGCGTAGGTTTTCCTACGATAAGTAGAATTTAGATAAAATTGAAAATCAATCAACAAAAATTAGATTCAATTAAAAAAAAATAAATAAATAAAAGGGGGGAGGCTCCGAGGTACGAAGAGCCTGTGAACATAATGTGACAATGAGTTCTATACACGGAAAAAAATAAAATATGTGGGTGTTTTTAGGGCAAGTAATTTATCTGGCATATAAATGAGGCTTTCCGCTTATTTGTTGAAAAATTATACTTCATTTTCTTGTTCTTAATCGCGATTCTACGAAAACATTGGTGTCCGTTTTTGGTTTTAACACTTATAACAGAGTACTAGATTTACCGCTTTTTGGCAGGTGAAACATCTGGTTTAGTCATAAATACATAAATTTGTAAAAGTTTTTACGTACTCATGAATTCATTTAAACCTAGTTAACATGCCTGAAAAGTTTGAATAGTTTCTATGCACCTTGAAACGAGAAATCGCATAAAAATCAAAATCCGGGACCGTCGGGAGTCGGGCGTCGGGAGTCGGGAAAACTAGATATACCGCTTGCCCACACTTCCGGTTTCTCTAAAAACGGGTTTCTCGAGAGTGAAGGCCTCCTAGCAGTATATGGAAAAAGTTATATTAAAATGTATTAAAATGTAATAAATTCTGAAGTACATTGAATGAAGAATATGTTTTAAGAATTTAAGTACTAAATGAAAAAGGAAAAAAATCAACATAATGAAATTATTTATCAAACAAACTATTTTTTTTTCAAATCGGGATCGGCGTTTAAAAAAAAATATTGATAGAAAAAATCATCATGTCTTCTAAGAGAAAGCTTCACAAGTGGTCAATTGATTTTACTGGACATGGAAGGTTCAGTGACTTATTTTATGCACTGACATGTTTTTTCTTATTATGTTAAACATTTTCCACGTTATACATTTATTTATTTGTTACAAAAACCTATGGTTTTTAAAGAAATTGTTTATAAGATTCATCCTTGATCGGGGACTTTTATACTGATTGTATATATAGGCCCCTGCATTAATTTATTGCTTTTTTTTTTATGGGAGGGTTTTCATACGTTGTGAATTGATAGGTACCTATGCTACTGAGATGTGTGAAATATGTAAGCTAGATGTATTAATTGTATATCTACCATAAGAGTTATAAACTGAATAAAATGTCAGTTCTATCAATAAAATGATATTTTCCTAATCCTATGGACCAGGTTTAAGGATAGAATTTGTTCCAAGTTTTGGCATTGAAGCAAAATAGACATGGACATGAAATTGAACTAGGGTACATTTACCAATAATCCACAAAGTTTTGAATGTAAATATGATGGCATGTAAATTTGAAACGAGAGAAAACATTGAGAAACTAAATTGAATTTTCATCTTTTAATTATTTGGGTTATTTTTTAGGTTAATAGACATATTCATTCTCCAAAAGGTTGTTATGCTTAATTTATTAATTATTTCAATGCAACTCCTTTTGTATTCATCAAAATAATTTTTGTAGCGAATCTGCTCCGATTTGCTACATTGCAAATATATATATTATTGGACGTTTTCTGAGTGTGGTGAGGACTTGTCCAGAGATACAGTTCTAACTGATACATCATTCTAACTAGAATAAGTAATAAACATGATTCCTTAGATGTAAATACGTTAATCATTTGGTTTCTAAAAAGACTTAAAATTCATAAAATCTTAAAATTAGATAACTTGTAAAAGATGTCAATATTCTTAATTTTCTTAGATCAAAATCTGACAGACAAGCTGTCCAGGTCATTGAACTAAAGCCCCCAGTAGGATACACCGAGAGTATTGGAACTTTAGCAGAACAAAGCAGCAAAGACACAGACCAGAAAATTATAGATAAGGCAAGTACTAACAAGTGCCAATAAAGTTAGTTGACTAAGGTATATTTACAGTCAAGATCTCGTAAATGAGTTTAGACTGGACTATGGTTAATATGGTGGTAGATCCAGTATTATGCCATATAAATTGATAAAAGGTTATGTTTTCCATGGAAGATGAAGTATTTGAACACAAAATTCAAAATTAGATCAGTTGAACATAACCATGATACTTTTTTTTTCAAATTCATTTTGAAGAAGAGGACAAGTTTCTGAAATTTGAGAAATATGAATGTACCCTAATAAGAGCTTGATCTTAACATATTTATACCTCACGCAACAAGTTGCGTAAGGTATAATGTTTTTGACCTGTCCGTCAGTGTGTCAGTCAGTCTGTCAGTCCTGTTTTTTTTGTCAGCGCAACTCCTCATAAACTGCAGCACAGAATTTCGTCAAACTTTGCAGTTATTTAGGACACAATGTGTAGATATGCATATTACCAGGAAATTTGGATTCCTCTATTTTTTCTGGGAATTTCCTCACTTTTCATCTTAGATTTTTGGCCATATCTTGAATATAGAGATGAACAGTTTGTCAGCGCAGCTCCTCTTAAACCGCTGCACAGAATTTTATTAAATGTAGCATATATTTCGGACACAGTGTGTAGATGTGTATATCATCAGGAAATTTCGATACCGTAATTTTTCTGGGAATTTCGGCACTTTTCAATTTAGATTTTTGGCCATACCTTGAATATAGAGATGAACAGATTGTCAGCCGACTCCTCTTAAACCGCTGCACAGAATTTGCTCAAAATTTGCAGATATTTAGTACACAGTGTATATATGTGCATATTACCAGGAAATTCCGATTCCATTTATTTATTTTTCTGGGAATTTTGGCACTTTTCTACTTGGATTTTTGGCCATACCTTGAATATAGAAATGAACAGATTGTCGGTGCAACTTCTCATAAACCATGGCACAGAATTTCGACAAACTTTGCAGATATTTAGAAGACAATGTGTAGATGTGCATATTACCAGGAAATTCTAATTCCTTTATTTTTCCGGCAATTTCAGCACTTTGACTTTTGGGGGAGCGTGGGGTATCACTATGTGAGCTTGCTCACTTTTTCTTTCATTGAGGTATAACATATACAGTATGATATAAACTCCTCCATATCAAAGACAAACCCTGTAGACCTGTATCAAACCAAGATATCAGACTGAGTATCAATACATGTATCCATCTTTATCCCAAGGGCAGATGTTAGTTTGTCATTGTCTTATTTACATGACATCTTTTCACATATTTTTACAGAGATCATGGGATATAGCCCTAGGACCATTGAAACAAATTCCCATGAATTTCTTCATTATGTGGATGGCTGGGAATTCAATCTCGATCTTTCCCATCATGATGGTTGGCATGATGTTCTTCAAACCCATACAAGCCTTCATCTCCATTCAGAACAGTAAGTGTCCAATAATATTTACCGTATAATCCCTATTAATCATCCCGGACACTTAGAAAATTGTGTAAAGGGGGCAGTTATTTTGGTATTCTCTTATATTTAATGTCACATTTTAACTTCAAAAAATCTTTTGAAAAAAAATTCAAAGAACCACTAAGATAATGTCTAATAGTGTGAAGACAATCCACCCAAATTATGCTAAATGAATCATTTTCCACTAAGAAATTGGATAATAAACAAGTTTCATTTTCACTTTCTTCAAATTTTGGCACTTTTGATACAATTCTAGATGATTTTAATCACTGTACAGGGGGCCCTTATTTCCTGACATTTGAAAAAGACCTAGGGGGGCACTTATAGGGCAGGGGCGGTTAATTGGGATTATACGGTAACAGAAATCGGTAATGTAAAGATTTTGTGATAATATTTTGGTGCTTGGTCTTGAGTTAAGCTATTGAAAGATTTGAAAATTTGATGACTGAGATACTTATGCTGACATTGAATGAAGTAAGTGGAAATGTTACAACTAAAAATTTATGTGACACATCTTCTTTTTCAGCATTTGTAATGATAGAAGGATCACAAGCCATTATAATGAAATTTATTTACATATTTGGAAACATTGTCTGTGTGGCTTTAGCAACATATAAATGTCAGACAATGGGACTCCTCCCCACCCACGCCTCAGATTGGCTAGCTTTCATGGATCCTCAAAAGGTAAAGAACAAAATACTATGTATCACTCAGTTTCACTTTTCATTTTAATAGGCTACAACATTTTTCCGGTTACAGTAAAAGTATTAATTTTTCATTTCATTTAACTTGATTAATAGTCCTCAAAAAACGATTAAAAAAAAAAACGATAAAAAAAAATCCTGGTATAATGATGAGCAAGGCTGAGAGAAGTTATTCCCCTTTGCTGTTCTACTTATGATGATTAATCTCTGTGAATAATGAAAATTGAATCAAAGAATTGTGCAAGAATGATACAAAAATATTATGTCTGCAGTTTGACTGCATGGCAATTATGACAAATAGAAATGAACTAACACTCACAAGCACAAGCAAGTAAACAGATCTATTTCATGATCTGTATGTATATACAGTATCCCAGTTTTTTTCTCAAGTCTGATGGAGTTGAGATTCTGAGTGCTGAATCTAAATTTATCCATTCATCAACAAATTAATTTTGATTAATTTTTTTTTTTCAGAGAATGGAATGGAGTGGAGGTGGCTTTATTCTTTAATGGGGAATACAAGGATATTTGTTGTCAAAGATGATTTGATTTAATGAACGTATATTTATTTGGAAGAAGAGAAAATACTAAGAGAAATTTTGTAAAAGAAAAAAAGTGAAAATTGATATATCTTTTATAAAAGAAATGAAGAAAAACACTGGAAAAAAAATTGTTGTCAAGAATCGTGTAAAATGAATGTCTTTTTAAATAGGGATGAAGAAAATACTAACCAGGAATATATTTATAGACTACATTTTTTTTCATTATACCAAGAGATCAGAAGGTTGAGTGCAATAAAATAAAGAAAACATGAAGTGTCAATGAAAGTACACAAGTAAACTCATTTGTCAATTTATAATACTTTTTTGTGCTTTAAATCTGATAATAAAGAAAATAAAAATACTGAATAAAGTGTTATTTTTAATATTTTCAGTGCAAGGTAAAGATATCTAGTATATAATATATAGGGATTTCTTTTTCATTTACAATTTTTAAATATTAATTTGTTTTCTTTGATATGAATGAAAATTAGCATTTAGTAATCAAAATTTTATCAAAGGGCTTTTTGATAAAGTAACCTATTACTTTTTTTTATCGAACAACTTCTTTATTCAAAAACCTCCAGATGAAATGAACACTTTTCTTTGATTCGTAAATTTCTTTGTTCAGATGAGAATTACTACTTTAAAAGCTTATCTTAATAAGAATTGCAGTGGACAAGAATGCAATGTCAGTCAAAATAGTTAATTTTGTTTCGCGTGATTTTATTGAAAATGCGGTTGAAACTGTCAATTTTTCTTATTCAGTTTTCTTTTAAGGGGATTTGAAAAAACAGACTGAATGGAATATTTTTATTCCCATTTTCTGGTATGCCTGTTGTCTTTGATATGAATCCAAATTAACAACTGAGTAATAACTTATATGTGATATACCGTTGATCTGTTGTTTTTTTCTTTGGTCAAACCACTAGTTTAGATATAAAGAAAGAATTCTCGTGTTTGACTGATGGGTATAGAAATTTTGAGAAGGATGCAGATATGCACCAGGAAGGATAAAGGAATTTACATGTACTCTTATAACAGTACTCAGAGCTGAGTTCTCATCAAAACAACGGTTTCTTTTGCTGATTTTTTTAATATCGAAATCTGATTGGGTATATATGTGAAACATCCTGAGGAAATTTTGTGTTGAGTTGAGTTCAAGTTGCAAGCTAATTAATTTTCCTTTTTGTATAAAGATATATAACTTCACTGCATTGCATTGCATTTTACTGCTTGACGTACTGTCTGTTTAAAACATCCTTGGTAATATTAATTCAAGTATGAATTTATGTTGAACATTATATTAATGCTCATATTGTTTTATTCAGACACAGTTAGTTGTATTACAAATGATATTTAAGGATTTTAAAGATGTAAATCGTTACACCCAAAGATTTGCTGTGATTATATTCTTGTTTTCCAAATGAAGCCTATCTTTGATTTTTCAAGAATTCAGTTAACTTTCATTCAAATCATTAATTAATTTTGAAAAAAAAATTTAACTGATTGGAAATGTGACGGATGAAATAAAGAGGCAGTGGAATGAAGGAGTAACGGTAAAATATAAAATGAAGAGAGAGAGAGAGAGAAATGATCGAAGGAAAAACACTCATTTGGCTGCCATCTAAATTTTCATTCATTTAAAATGCAGTTTTGAACACTATTATACTTTTTGAACACTGGTCTTTTAAAGACTTTTTTGAAATAAGAGAAGTGTACCAGATACTGCATTAATTTACGACATTTGACCTAAAAATTGATAGGAACCTTAAGCTTGTTAAGGTTAAGGGGAGTTGTGATAATAAATTTGATCGAAGTTGAAATTCAAAAGAATCCTTTTAGGCCATAAAGAGTTGTGATATAAAGACTTCTAAAAGATGCCGGGAAATGAAAACGTCACGCAAATACTGAATTTATTACCTTGACCTTTGGTCTTTTGACCTCAAAATCAATAGGGTTATTATTTAGGCTATTTGGAGTTATGATCTAAAATGTCATAGCAATAGCTCAAAGACTTCTTGAGATATCGTCCAAGAACGAAAGCTGAGTTTCACACAGATAGACAGCTACCAGGACGGACGGATTGACCCAAATTAATATCTCCACTTTCCCTGAACGCAGGGGACAATATGAATTAATAATATCAAATTCTTTTTAATTACGCACGTTGTGCTTCTTGCTGAACTCTCGCGTTTGTGAACTGCTTGATTGTAACGCACACGTACATAGATATATATTACTTTTGACTTTATGACAGAAAAATGACAAATGCAACAATCTTTTGAATATGCATGTGCTTATATTGGGACCATATAATCAAAATAGATACGAGCTTAGTACATGTATGTTATCATTAGCATAAATCTCTGACATATCAAGTCAATTCCATTGGTCTGTGACATACGTCGTTCAAAATTATTACATTTTAAAAGAAGGCAGTATATATACAATATTACATTTTAAAAGAAAACATAAAACACAGGCAGTATATATACAAAAAACAAGGGATTTTCTATAACTTACTGTATTGAATTATTTAGAGAAATTGAAAAAATTCTTTAATCAATTTCAAATATGGGGTGTCAAAAACCAAGGCGCACGCGGACGCTAAACATAGAAAAAACTTGGAATGGCCTTTCTTCAAATCCTGTTATATGTTCGTTGTATATAGTGGCGATTGCGTTGAAACTTTGTCCATAATTACAACTTGACGGCAAAAACATACTAATACATGTATGTCAAACAAAATTTTGTAGAATAAATCTTTAAGTACTAGTAAGCAGTAACTGTGTTTATACATGTTGATACAATCAAAACCTTCGAAAAATGCTGAAAACCCTCAATTTTCAAGAATGGTAGCTAAGTGTTCAGCTATCAAGTCATTAAGTTTTGGAAACAGTTATTTTCACTATGCATTGCTGCAAAATATATATATATATATATATATATATGAAAAATGACAAATTACCGAGGTAACTATATTACACATAGCAGCGTGTTCTTGTCTGATATAAGTTTATGATATCTAGGACTTATGTCACACAAATTTTGGAGAGATTATGGTAGTGTACTTCTCCTATAGTGTTTACAGGCTATCAAGTCACTTTTATATACTAACCTTACTTGTATAGAGGAATGAAGAAAGGACCAGTAACTACACATATACATATACATACTTATGCTAAAATTGCTTGTATCTTCAAACGCTTTAAAAGACACACCAGGATGACAGAACACCAATTTTCATCTTTCTTTTTGCAGCATGTTGACTGAAAGACTTCTAGAACGGAGAGAAAGAGAGAGAGAGATAGAGATTTTTAAACAAGATGTGTTTGTGAAACACTGATGCTCCAGTATTGCTGCTTATGGTAAGCATTGAAGTTTCTCAAATGAAAGTCAAACTCCAAGGTTTAGGTCAAAAGGTCAAAATTGTTGGTGTTGTCACAAGGAATATACAACTGTGAAATACTAGTACAGTGTGAAAGCCCTATTACTAACTGTAGCCAATGTTCAAGTTTTTAAGACAATGAGTCAAACTCTAAGTTCAAAGTCATGAAAGAAGTGTAGTTTGCAGTTGCCTCCCTCGTGTAGTTTACAGCTATGTTTAATATTTATTTAATTAAATCTGATTTAAAGAAACAAAGATGTTTGAGGCGTAATTTAAAAAGAATACTTACTTTTATTGCTTTATTTACTAGTATTTTAAGGTCACTAGGTTAAAGGTCAAGGGCAAAGTAATTTAGACTTAGGAAGGAGAGAAGAAGTATATTACCCATACTGATTTTAAGGTCAAAGGTCAAACTGGACCTGAGAAATTATTGACTGCTCAATATCTCGGAGACTCCTTTGTTCGAAAGACATCATTCTTGGCACAATGGTCCACAGTGTAAATTTTGAGGTACAAGATCAATGCTCATTTCTTGACATAGAGGTGTAAAGAACACTCTGTTTGAAACGTGTTTAGGAGTAGCAGTTGTTCTCTATTGATATTGATGTCATAAAGTCAAACTAGACATGTTGATGACCCGATACCCAATCGGCAATCCTCGGCTGACTCCGCTACACTCCATTCAAACCTCGGATGTCCTGAAAATCCACGAAACTGGTTCCCTATGAGGGATAAAGAACCACTGTAGATTTTGAGGTCACACAGTCAAAGGTCAAACTAACACAATCTTCGTTCATTATCTTAGGACTTCTTAAGATTGCTTGACAAACATCAAACTTGTTGCTTAATACTTTGGTTTCCCTTGAAATGTAGATGACCCCTATTGATTTTGAGGTCATGAAGCTAAAGATCAAGGGTCAAACGGACAAAGGAAGATCTTGAGAAAACATTGCTTGACAGACATCAAACGCGACACAATGCTTTCCTTAAAGAGTAGATAAAACCTATTACTTCAGATTTCTTCCTGAAGGAAAATTGTGAAAGGATGTCTTCTGGATGTGGAGTTGTGGACCCAAAATGCTGAACTTCGAAATTGGGATGTATTTTTTATTACATCATAAAATACTCGCTAATCAGTTTGGTGAAACATTTTGATATACAGTATATATAAATGGGTATAATGGCTGCTTCTACTCATAATTTCTCTTATCTGAATCTTAGTGGCAATGGAAAAGATTCAAAATGGTATCGCCAAATAAATATCATTATTTCTTCATCTTCCTTTGGAACGATACGCTTTCATTTTAAGAAACTGAATGTCCTTTCCAAATAATTGTACAACTTAATGGCAAATTATAGGTTGAAATTGACTGAATGGTTCTTAAGAAGTAATAAATCAAAGATGTGCAATATATACTATGCTGGACGACGAATGACAAAAACAAATAGCCATACCTGACACAATTAAGTGATTAAAAGAAGTTAGATCCGTTCTTTATTTGTATTTTGTCACAAAGAAATAAAATAAAAATCACTAAAAAGAAATTAATCTCTTTGTGTGGTCTGCATTGCGGTTTATTAGAACACTTAAAATCTCAAGAAAAACATTTTCAGTAACTTGTACTGATTGCCCACTTAAATTTTGTGGACATCGGCTACATCGGTCATCAAAACAAATGAATAAATAAAGAAAAAATAGGAATGTCCTTTTGAAGAATTCTAAGTAAACTATTTATGCACGTGATAGTGATCCACCAAGTCTTTAAAATAATTTTACATATTGTATTTAGTATACCAGAATGTATCGTAATTTAGAATAAAAATGTTTATACTAGTGATGAAAAAGTAGAAAAAAAAATCAACATTAGAAAATTAGTAAGAAGATTATAAATGGTAAATTTGATAGATCGATGATAGAAATTGAAAATTAGACATTAATAATTTACTTACTAAGTAAAAGTTATTGTATGTCAAACAGGTTCTACTATTTTGGAAACTATTGTATATAATCGATCAGTCAGTAAAAACAATGACCCTTTATCTTTTTCTGCTAAGCAAATACTTGTAATATCAAAGAAAAGAGAGTGAATTAGTTGTGTATTTTAAAAAAAAACAGACTCTCCAGAATTTTATGTTGAAAGTCGAAAGTCCATTTCATGTTCACAAGAGGAAATTCCGTAAAAAAAAATCTGGACAACTGACAGAAGGATGACTCAAAGTGTCACCTTTCCTGAGTATGAACGATAGAAGGTTTATATTGTGTTTATATTGTGCAGAATAGGAGAAGGAAGCTATTGCTCACGTCAAGCGGATATGGTCAAAAGTATATGTTCCTGGTGTTCAACAGGGTTCTGTTCTCTGTCCCTTTCTGTTAACGGTTTAACGACACAAATGTTTATTACAGTTCAGTTTGTTATTATTACAAAAAATAAAATGACAGAAGGTCAACAGAGATAATCTGAGCCCAGTTGTGTCGTTTTATCTACATGTCTGCTTTATGGCTTTTGTGGTTTGTTAGTTGTGGTAAATTATACTCATTTAGTATTGCGTAAATGTGATTACTAAGCAGTAGAAGTGTAGAATGACTTTTTAGAGTATATCAAGCATTGCCAAGTCTAAGTCAAGGGAATCCATGTATTTTTCTGATACCGTTTTCTCTATTGAACAATGGCAAATAAAAAATCTATTAAATCAACTGACTATCGGCGACATCCTTTTATCACACACATGATAAGCAAACAATTTCCATTACGTTTTAGCAAATAACTTGAAACTGCTTTTTTCTTCTTTTTTTAAGTGGTGCACGTTTTTGTTTAAACCGAAACATTTACAGCATCATCAACATCATAGATCAATTAATGAAATCGTATATCTTCAAGCAGTCTAAGCATTTCTGAGATAATTGGCCAGGACACTTGTATTTGAAAGAAAAGTATTTGGGATTTTTTCCCCTTTAAATCCTTGAATTTTTAAGAATAAATCCAGTGCATATCCTGTTTTTGTCTTAAACTTGTAGAACTGAAAAAAAAGATGTACAACAAATTATATATACATAACTAAATTTTTTTAAATGACGTCATTATTCATTAAGAAACTATCATGGAGAATTAAGCATCAGTTTTCAACTCTCTAATAAAACGCACTCAAGCTTAGTTTATGATTTCTTGGGGGAAAAAATCAATATGTCTGTATATAGCTGATGTTTTGTAGAATTATAAAACAGGAACCGACAACCAAAGATGCCAGAATTCCACATCGAACATTGCTCCTTTAATTTTTTAAGCAGAACCATGTTAATGTAATTGGTCAGTAATCATTGAATGAACATCCCTTTGAAAAAAATGGCCGTGTTAACCAGTGAAATGCCATCTTCTTTTATTATTATATTTTTCCTATCGATCATGTTCCCTAATTCCCATAAATCTAGCTCGATCAATAAAAATACGTTCGCCGAAGCGGGTCACGTTGTCACTCAAGCGAATCCTCGTCGAATGGTCGTTCAGGCGATGCCGGGTTTTTATACCATTAGATAAGTGACGTTCTTCCTCCATAGTCCGGATTAATATGTTTTTGAAAATTTCAATTCTTTTACTCTTAGCAGTGGGTAAGTAGTTTTTTAAAAATATTTATTAACCAGTTATTTAAAAAATGTAAGATTTTGCGTCTGTTTAAGAAAATATTTTTAAAGAAATGAATACTAATTAAATATATATGGAAAAAACGTATAAATTGACAATATTGACCAACCCTCCCTTTTTTTTTTTACATAAGCTGCCCTTGATGCCATCATTTTATTTATATTTCCTCCCTTGTTATTGATAAATTGAAATTATTTTCATTAAATCTAATTTCTCGTAGATTATTGTCGTATTTATAAAACGACTTTCATAAAAACCAAGAATCTTTCACACTTATAAACTCTATATCAATCTAAAAAAAAAAATTATGCTATTTAAATAATTTTTGATTTTATTTGACAGTTGCGGAATCAACAAGATGTGAGTACTTTTCAAATTCTTTATCCTAACTGTTAGTGTATGACGATATGGAGCAATCTCTCTCTCTCTCTCCCTTTCTCTTTCTCTCTGTGCAAATCATTAGGTGACACCAGCCAATCTATGTCACTTTTTCTGTCTTTTATTGCCTATAAACACACAAGAAAGCAGTCCATATGATGACTAGTTTTACCTGATTCCGTTCTGCTTGCAGTGCAGTGCAATATCACTTGACCACAAATGTTCTCATGTTTAATATACAAGCATATAAAAGTCGGTTAACCAGTATGAGATTAATTAGCGCATTATATATAGATATTAATTTTATCTTTATGCATTTTACAGTATTAAAAAAATTAAGTAGATCATTATACAGATCTTTATGCAGATTAAGGACTGTATATGGAGCGACACCAAAAAATATACGCTGTCGTTTTCAGTATTATCTATCATAAAACGGGCACAAAGCTCGCTTGAAAATGTGTCCATCCCTAAAATTCATCCATAGTTTTTATGCAAATATCAATTGTTCCAGTGAGCAATATGTCTACGCAAGTGCGAAAGGCGCTGAAATACAAAATTTTAACAATTACCGGTATAAAAAAAAAGTTTATCTTCGGAGTATATAATTATAAATTGTACATAGACTTGTGTGTTGTATTTCTTCTTCAAAAACAATTTTGCTATAAATATAACAAAATGAAATATCTCCCCTGAGAGTTTTCTATTATCTTTTATAATCCATGATTTATTTTTATCTGTAGGGAGAGGGCCCAGACACAAAGGCAAATTCAGATGGTTTCACGGTCCAAAAATAAGATTTATTGATAGACCAAGTGAGTATATACATTTATCGGGAACATGTTGAATAACACTGTGTCATCAAAAATGTGATGCATTCTGTGTGTGTATTCGTTGTTTAATCTCAATCTTTTGTTAAATTTCAGTTCACATTCCAGTTCGTAAGTACTTTTTATAGCTGTTTTTAATGCTTTTACTGCTTCTTTGCATGGCTGAGAATCAATATAATTTATAATTGTAGAAATCATAGAAATCACACTATAAGTCGTATTTCCCTAATCTCTGTATTGGACTGAAAATATACATCCAGAACATCTAAATTGATACAGTTAGTTATGAAATTCAAAGTTATATTAACCTGTAACCGACCTTTCAGGTGAACAATTCCTTAAAGTTTTTATAGCACATGGGATAAAAAATAAACCAAATTAAAACGATTTATTATGAAATACCTGGTATTATTTAACTTTCGTTTTATTTCTTGTAAACATAATATTTCTTTTTCCACAGACCACAAAAAATAAATCAGGAAATTCTAATTTAAACAATTACTAGTAAATGGTTATTTTAGCGACCCTCGAAATTATTGGGTTTTACGGAATGATCTTGCACCTTTAACCAATAAACATTTGGTTCCCATAAAATTCTAGTGAAAGAACCATTGTGTTTTAACTAATGTTGTCTTATTGAAACGCTTACCTACAATATTCCATAAACTTAGAACTAAATCTTTATATGTGTTTGTATCTTTGTACCCTTTCCCGTCATTCAATAAAGACAAATTAATTATTATAATAGCCAAATAAAATTTCAAGAAATCATCATGAACCATGTTCCACATAAAAAAAACATCTTTCGCGGAGACTCCTTTTTTGTTAATTTGCGGACACGTTTCTAATACTCATCGGGAATACAATATATATTTATTCCTTTTGCTGTGATAATCCAAGAAAAGAATATGTACAGATAAGTATAGATATTATGCCCTTACGTCACCCATCTGATACCACAACGCTCGCGTTCGATGACAGAATTATGAGAACTCCGGATCACGACGGGTCGTAAAATCAAACATAAATTCAATCACTCAGGCATATCTTAAAGTAATGTATAGCCACGTGTATATACACTGACAGAGTTATAAAAAGCATGTACTTGTGTATTAATTAAGATGCAATTATGTAAACGAATTGATTAATTAAGCAGATATTTGTAAATCAATTAAAAGGGGGTGTTTAACCCTTGAAAAATCTCCATGTTTAAGGGAGAAAAAACACTGTAATTTATGTATAATGATATTGCATCAATAATTTTACAAATTTTTCTTTCCCATTCCATTAAATCCACTCCATCAACTTCCCAAGTGAATTGATGCAACAATACTGTACATGTTATACATATGCTTACATAATATAGGAATTTAACAAAACTATAAAAGAACAAAATTCACTGATATTTGTGTCACCTAATTTTATCAATTTCAATCTTTTAGTTTATGTTTTTTTTCTAAATTTAATTTATTTATTTCAGCTTATGCAGTTCATAAAACAAGTAAGAATATACAAGTGTACAACAAATATACAACTTTAATATATTCAATTTTGAAGTTAAAAAATAAGTAAAAGCATGTAAAAATCGCACATTGTTTGAATTGAAATCCTCTACCGAATCTTTCGATAATATATAATTTTGTTTGTTTACAGGGTTCATAGATAGACATAGTGAGTATATTTTATTATTGAATTCTTTAAAACATGTTTTACGTTCTCTCAATTTGAAAGCAAACAGTTCAATTCTAAAATTCATGACCAAAAAAGTATTCAGATTGAATCTTTTCAAAACTCTTGCCTTTATATATCTAATCATTCTAATTTAACTAAAGGCATATTATGAATATACATGTATCTGAACATATGTATTTGTCTTTTTCTCTTTATCAGTTCCTATTTACAAGAAGATTCACATTCCTATCATTAAAAAAATCCCAATCATCCGGACTGTGATAGTGAGAGAAAAAGTTCCTAAGCCAGGTAAATCTAATAACAATGGATAGTTAGACAAAAGGTTTCTAAACCTGGTACATATAAGTCTACATCAAATAGCAATGAATAGTTAGAGAAAGTAAGAGAAAAAGTTCCTAAAGCAGGTAAATTTAAAAATACTAGTAATAGCAGTGGATAGTTCCTGACTTGGTAAATCTAAATATAATAGCAATGGATAGTTAGAGAAAAGGTTTCTAAACCAGTATTAATAGCAATGGATAGGTTTCCAGGTAAATCTATAACTAATCGCAATGGATAGTTAGAAAAAAAGTTATAAAGTCAGGCAATTCTAATAGCAATGGATAGTTAGAGAAAAGGTTTCTAAACCAGTATTAATAGCAATGGATAGTTAGAGAAAGAGTTCCTAAACCAGGTAAATCTATAACTAATCGCAATGGATAGTTAGAAAAAAAGTTATAAAGTCAGGCAATTCTAATAGCAATGGATAGTTAGAGATAAGGTTTCTAAACCAGTATTAATAGCAATTATTAGATAGGTATAGAGAAAGAAGTTTCTAAACCAGATAAACCTAATAGCAAGGGATAGTTAGAGAAAGGGTTCCTATTCCAGCAAAGTCTAATAGCAATGGATAGCGAAAAAGTTCCTAATTCTGATAAATCTAATAGCAATGGATAGTCAGAGAAAAGGTTCTTAAACCAGGTAAATCTACAACTTATAGTAATGGCTAGTTAATTCCTAAACCCGGTAAATCTAAATATAATAGAAATGGATAGTTAGAGAAAAGGTTCCTAAACCATGCAATTTTACAACCAACAGTTTTGGATAGTAAGGGTGAACAAGTTCCTAAACCAGGTACATGTAAATCTTAACTTAATAGGGGTGGATAGTTAGAGAAATTTTCTGAACTAGTTAATCTTTATGTAATAGGAATAAATAGTTAGAGAAAGTTTTAAACCAGGTTAGTTTGCTTGTTGTTTAGCGTCCCTCTTGAGAATTTTCACTCATATATATGTAATTAATTTTGGTAATTTTTTTTTCTATCTTACAGTCCCAGTCCATAAGGAAATCATCAGAACGATCACTAAAAAGGGTAAGAAAAACTTCGTTTATCCACACAGTGTATTTAATTCGATCAATTGTGTTACTATAGAGCTGATACCGCCCACAGTGTGACGTAAAAATCGTCATAGCGGTCCAACATCTCATGGTTAGGTCCAATATCTGATTCCGCGGTCCAATATCGATGTTTTTGGATCGCAAGCTAAAAATTGAAAATGTTGGAACTTTTAACGTCGATTTAAATCACACAAAAAAAAATCAAAAGAACAGTATGTAAATATTTTCACAATATACATGTACAACTAATTAATCTATCTCAAATTCAAGTTCTGTAACTCGGTAGTGATGAAATATTTGTTCTATTTTTACAGTGAAGGTTCCAGTTATTAAACGAGGTATGTCACATTATATTTACACACAAAAACAAACGAGAAAAAAGAACTATTACACCCTCCCCCCCCCCCCGTCCCTTTACAAAGAATATACAATGAACACAATATCTAAAGAGAGGTCTAATCCCCCCCCCCCCCCACACACACACACAAAATCATAAAGAAACAAAATTATAAAGATGAAACCCTTAACAGTAATCCATAGAAATTGATAGATTAAAACGATGTCACACAATAAACAATTTTTATATGACCACATCAAAGACCATGCAGTTGGCACTAATAATAATAAAAAGCAATGAAACAAAAAAAAAACCCAACAAAGAAACAAACAAACAAAAAAATTCAATACTAAGTGCCCCTATTTCAGTTCCCTTTCCTAAGCCGGTACCGGTGATATACGAGGTTCCAGTGGATCGACCATTTCCAGTAGAAAAGCGCGTGGTTGTGGAAAAACCCGTCCCCGTTACAAAAGAAGGTATTGTCAAACGAACACAGCTTTATCGAATTATATTATTTTTATCATAAAATTTACATGATTCTATTGTGTGAAACAAGAACACGTGATATATTTAAAAATTATGATGCAATCGTAATTTTTGTTATTGTTTTTACTAAAGTTTCAGTTCCTGCTCCTTTCCCAGTGTTTCCAAAAGAAAAGGGTTTGTACTACACTAGCATATATTTACATTCACTAAATGTTTTTCCTTTATTTCTTTATGAAGACCATTGCCATTAATCAGTGCATAAACGACACTCCATGGGCATGGCAAGTGCATAGATGTCTTTCTGCAATAGCTATTCCATCAGTTATGCATACAATGATATACATGTATTCATAACATAATATATAACATATTTAATTTTACTTTGAATGTTTTTTTTTTCATAGATATATAACATATTTAATTTTACTTTGATATGTTTCCTTTTTATTATTATTCCCTTTTCATAGTACACGTGATTAGAAATACTGTTTTAAAGATTTTTAATATAAATATCTCTATTTTTTTATTTTTTGAAAAATACTTTCACATTTTTTGTCCGATTTTCTTTTTTTAAATTGCGATTTTGTCCAAGCATCTTCTTGTCAACCACTCAAGATTGAATCACGATATTTTCAGAGATGAAAAAACTTCTCTATGAGTATATAATACGTCTTTTGATTTTGCATCCGTCACTTCCGGTCGACACAGGAAGTGATATTCAATTTCAAGATTTTTGGAAAAATTCAACCGTTTTGAATAAAGGCTAATAAAACTTATGTTCACATTCACAATTGTCAGCAAAACGCATCCATTGGAATAACTTCCGGTGTAAACCAGAAGTAGTCGAGAAATTAAACTTTCTCTCATGAGGAAATAGAATAAAATGCAGATGTCAGCCGGAAAAAAATTGTTTAAATTTACATAAAGTGGGTTATGTATTTCTTCTGCAACAGCTGCGTCATTAATTAAAGTACTAACAACCAAAGAAAGCATTTTATTATTTATATAATCCAAAAAAGTGTTATTATCCCTAACTCAACTGAAAAATCAAAATATATATTCATATAATTTTGAATTTATACCTTGTAGTAGAGAAACCCAAAGACGGCGGTACTATTATTATCGGTGAGTAAATAGAATGAGATAATAGTCATTTAAAGAATTTTTGCAAGTTCATCCCTACATTGGTGCATGATTGATTGATTGTTTAACTCCGGGTCGGCATCATTTTAGCGATATTTCGGCGGTTTATACAGCGTTGAATATCCTTTAAATTGAAGTATGCCATGCCATCTAACCTTTTTCGAATGAAGTGATCACAACAAAACCTGTCTTAAATCTATTTTTAAAAATATTTTTTACAGATGCCGGTGGAAAAGGAGGAGGCAAAATTGGCGGTGGAATCGACAAGGGAATAGGGGACAGATTTGCAGGGAAAGGGGTCGATGTCCCAGTTGATATCCCAGTCTTCCCAATAGGTGGAGGGGGAGGGGGAATAAATCCTGGTTTCAATCGCCCAGTTGGTGGAGGTGGAGGGAGAATAGACCCTGGCTTCAATCGACCAATCGGCGGAGGGGGGATTGATCAAGGCCTCATTCCTATTGGTGGAGGTGGAGGGGGAATCGATCCTGGTTTCAATCGTCCAATAGGAGGGGGAGGTATTGACCAAGGTCTCGTCCCAATCGGTGGAGGGGGAGGGGGAATAGATCCTGGCTTCAATCGACCAATCGGCGGAGGGGGAATTGATCAAGGACTTGTCCCAATCGGTGGAGGTGGAATAGACCCTGGCTTCAATCGACCAATCGGTGGAGGAGGAATTGATCAAGGCCTCGTTCCTATTGGTGGAGTTGGAATAGACCCTGGCTTCAATCGTCCAATCGGCGGAGGAGGAATTGATCAAGGCCTCGTTCCTATTGGTGGAGGTGGAGGAGGGATAGACCCTGGTTTCAATCGACCAATCGGCGGTGGGGGAATTGATCAAGGTCTCGTCCCTATTGGTGGAGGTGGAGGAGGGATAGACCCTGGTTTCAATCGACCAATAGGAGGGGGAGGTATTGACCAAGGTCTCGTCCCAATCGGTGGAGGGGGAGGGGGAATAGATCCCGGTTTTAATCAACCTGGCTTTAATCCACCAATCATTGCTGTTGATCAACTTCCAAGTGGAGGGGTTAATGCAGGTCTTAATCGTCCAATCTCAGTCGATCCACTTATTGATACCGGTCTTATAGGGGATACGTCCATTGGTGGCGGCGTCAATCCAGGTCTTGGACTTGGAGGGTCCGTTAATGGCGGTTTTATAGAAAGCGGATTTGGTTTAGGTGTCGAACCAAACTTCGATCGTACTTTCGAAAATGGATTCAACAGTCTCGACAATTCATTCGGAGGATTTGATAACAACGATTTTCCTGTCTACGAGGCTAGGCTAAACGCCATAGCCCAAGGGCAAGGTGCAATTCTTCCGGGTGGAGCCATTGGGCAGGGAATTTCGGGTAAAATATTTTAAATATACATGTACATATTTAGGTTTTTTAAATTACATAAATGAGTATTACATACCAAATACATGTAATTGAGTCACGGAGTCCTATTTAAAGATTCCTTGATGTTTTAGCTACCGACGTAGGGTTACCAGCAAGTGCACGTGAGTTTAACACCCACAGAATTTTTTTTTCGTTTTTGATTTTTATCACAGAGCTTTGCAAATGATCAAAACCTCAACACGTATCATATAAATAGTTGAGCTGTTTGTCTGTCTGCAAAGGCAAAGCATTTTTTAATTAAACCCTTTTATAAAAAAAAATTAACTAAAATTAAATTAATACTCTCGATGTCGCAATGAGAAATAACACATCCTTCTACGCTAAAATCTTATATTCACAGAAAGTTTCGGATTAGGCCTGGATGGATCAGGTTTTGAAAGCGGAAGGGACAGTTTGCGTAAGTTCCTTTTCTATAATTTGTTTTCCTCACTTCATTATCAAATCATCATGTAAATTTTCTTCACCTCTTTTGACTTTACAACCAAATTACCATATAAACATTCCATCAAATCCTTATAGATTGATTATATGTTGTTTTAAGTCCCATTCAAGAATGTTTCGCTCATTTAGAGACGTCCGTTTAGTAATTTAAGTGTTTAACTTGAAATTCACTGTACATTGCCAATTTATATTTATGTCATAAAGTTTAATATTTTTATTGTAGTTGATTCAAACCTTGATCTTTCATGTGAGTAACGAATTTTTTCCCAACATTTCTATGCTTCAAGAAATTTCATATCTTTAAACAAACTCCACTTTAAGTTCTACTAATGATTGAATTTAAAATGAAATATACTTTTAACAACGAAATGTCTTTTGTTATCGCTATATATATCATTTAAATCGTTCTGATGCACATATACCCTTGTAATTCATCGATATTTCGGCATTTTAATTATGCTTTCATAGATTATATTCTACAAAAGTTAAATATTGTTGCATATTATTTTTGATTCGCTTGTAAAGGGTATTATTAGCGGAGAAATGTATTAAATTTATTTCTTTTACAATGTTCTTGTAGCAAACTTAGGAGGTGCTGCTCTCGGTCCAGCAGGTAAATTTAGTTTGTTACTTAGATTCTTTCTTAGTAAATTTTTAATTTTTTTTTTTCATTTCGATTTGTAAATTGTTGGGTAAATATGCCATGATTGGAAATCTTTAAATACTGAGTACACTCTATTTACATACATTGTATTTGACTTTTCTAGCTATAGCACCGGCTGCCTTTACTACTGGTGGATCATTTAGTGATAATGGAGGAACTTTAAAAACAATATGAGATCAATGTGTAAGTATGCGGTAATGATAAATGTTCTGACAACTATTTTGTCTCTGTGTTATATTGTATGCATTCAATGCATATTCTTCCAAGTAAGATTCTCTCTAAAAAGTTTTTCTTAAAAAAAGAGTACAATAAAAGAAATTCAATTAATATATTGTAGAATGTTGTAAATTAGGAAGTGGGTGTGGCTATAGAGATGAAGACCACGTGATCGGTCGGAATTCGCCGCCCGGCAGACATCAAAGCTTTATATAGGTCATCTTTGTTGATTGCTATTAAATTTGTTATAAATAATGTGTTATTGTCTTCTTTCCAACACATACAGTGAAATCTTTAATTTTCGGGTGGTGGTATTTTTCGTTGCATTTGATGTGTGTAGAGACCTACAAATTTATGCCCACCACGAAATGTAAACGTTCATGTGCACAACTACCAAAAAATTCTTCATCCACGAAATCAAAACCCCACGAATTAATTTTTTTCCTCAAACCATGAAAATATGTGATTTTACAGTATATATAATTTGTCAAGATGAAAATGGAAGTGAAATCATCGCAGACTTTCAAGGAGTCTTGTTAATACTGAATGAATTACAAAGATAACCATCACTAGTCTTGAAAACATTCATAATACATATAAGGTGCACAGCAAATGGTGTGCTCTTTGTTGGATTGGGAATACAGATAAATCGTAAACAATTCAATGGCCTAAGAATAGGCATTTGCCGATAAGGTCATTTTATTGACCATAGAACTTGCAAAATGATTACCAGTACTTTAAATGAAACTGTTAATGTTCTTGTTTCATCAACTTGTTTGTCAATAGCTTGCCTCATTAAAAAATTTCATATGTAGAGCATGATCTTGTGTATCAAACTTTGAACAATCTGGTATGGTTTCTATACAGATCTTGCCCTGTGATTTTCTAAAACATGAAACTGGTGTAAAAGATGAAAACTAATGCTTTCTGAATCATTGAGATTCCATGTGCAGAAAAATCATACAAATCATTTTTCACCCATTTGTTTTTAAATGGTAATTGTGACGTCATAAACATGCACATTTTCCCGTATTTTCTTCAAAAGTTGCAGAAGACACAAATTTTGAATTGAATTTTCTTTCAGAAAATATTGTCCACAGGCATCGCCCACAAAGATTTTGAGATATTTGATTTTTTGTTGTTTTTTGCACAACATATCAAAACATAGGTAATCAGAGATTACAGAGCTCACCTCAACGAATGTTGTCTTTAAGTAAGGCAAAGTCACACAATTAACCAACAAAAAGTGTATATTCCAAAAATGAAAATATTTAAGCAATTTTGATCTGATACTTTGAAATAGACCTACATAACAAATTTAAACTAGTTCATTTTTCATGAAAATGTAATCAAAATCCAGCATCTGAAGCAAATTTGAGAGTTTTCATCTCTTGATGCAACATTTGTGCAAGTTTGGTTTATACAATGTTATATAAGCCTTATAGTTTTTTGGTAATAGACCTGCACTCATAACTTTTACCTGGTCTATTATCTGAAAAATGTATGTCGAATTCAGCATCCTAAGCAAGCCCATTAGTGTGCATCCTAAGATGTATCGTCCATGCAAGTTTGCTCATTAATTATAGGGCTCATAGTTAATTGGAAATGAAACATGCCTCAAAAACTAATATTTTCACTCATCCACAAAAGGTAGGTCAGATTCAGCATCCGAAGCAAGCCTGGTAGTATGCATCCTTATATGTATCATCATTCCTTTGCTGAAATTGCAGCATCTGAAACTTTGACTGGTACAATGAAACACACTAGAACCATCTTCCATGCATGTCTAATCAATATAGGACATAGAAGTACTTGAAAAGAAAATTGCTCCAAAAAACTTAACCTTAACCTGGGACACCGACGCCGATGCCGAGGGTATTACATAAGCTCCCCCAACTTTGTTGAGGTGAGCTAAAAATCAAAGTGGGTGACGGCTGTGGACACTATTTTCTAAAGGAATTTTACTCTTGAAATTGGCTAATTTGAGGCTTTTTCTGTTAAAAATACAGAAATGCATCACATTAATGACGTCATATTGGCAGAATGGTCATCCTCTGTGCCATATTCTTTTGTAATTTATCATAGTCATATACTTAATTAATATTTCAGCCAGTTTCAAAACTTTCTGATAACATAACATTTTTAGGGCACAATTAAGCTAAAAACATACCTTCTTCTAACTAACTAAGAAACATATACCCCATATGCAGGTGATATTGGTACTAGAATATTGCAAAATAAGTAAGGAAAGTTGACAAAAGAAAAGTTGGTCTGTTTATCTTCAAACTTTAAAGCTGGGAAGCATTTACATCTTTTCTAGTAAAATATACAAATATGACAAATGTATCAGACTCTGTGGTATCTTTTATTTCAAGGTCTTCACGATGTATTACTATAAAGTTGACATATGAAGTAACTGATATAATTTTCTGATAGTTTGTGCACATATAAGCTGCTTCATTACAAACTTACAGTTTTATAAGAAACATGTAAACCCATTGCAGCAATCAAGTTTAATTGTACCTCCATACATAATACATTGATAAAAGTCTCATTGAGACATGTCATATGGTTAAAATAATGCTCCAAACCACCACAGATAAAGTTTATAAGGCAGTTGTTCATCAGTGTGAGTATTTTTTCATCAGTGTGAGTATTTCTGGTCCCTGTTTACTTCCCTATTAGTCCTTCAAACCTATACTCTTCAGCAACTGGATAGCCTCTTCATGTGCCTATAAATGTAATTATTATGACACAATGTAGACCAATAGACATGTTGAAATGCATGCACAGCATGCACATGAAGAATGTTACAAAATAAATGAAACAAAAGGCCCATGGGCCTTATAGGTCACCTGAGTATCATGTAACAACCACCAGTTGTGCATCCCTTCCCACAGGAACCACTGACCCTGGGGCAACACGTTTCAAATTTTTGGAAAGTTTATCATAAATTTTATTTCACCATAAAAGGTTGATTAAAACCAAAGAGCAGATTTCAAAGCATTTAATTATTTTCAGACTAAGTACCCCCCCTCCCCCTGGTACCCCTGACCCGAGGGCACCGAAATTAATCATTTTGGAAGAGGCACATTTCTTCATCATAAATATGTACTTTAGATCATTGGCATAATACCCAGGAGCAAAGGAGAAGATTTTCAAAGAATTCATGCATTTTCACTATATAATCCTTAGAGCCTGTCCGTGCCCTAACACCAAAACCCCTTACCCAAGGGCCCTGAAATTCATAAATTGGAAAGAAGCATTCCCCCTCATCATAACTATGAACATAGTTCAATGGTTTTTAAAATACTCAGGAGCAGAGAAGAAGATTTTTAAAGAATTTGTGCATTTTCACTATATAATCAATGTTATATGGCCCTAACAACAAAACCCCTGACCCAGGGGCCATAAAATTCACAATTTTGGAAGAGACACTCTTGTTTAACATAATCATGTACTTGGTAAGTTTATTTAATACCCAGGAGCAGAGAAGAAGATTTTTAAAGAATAAATGTATTTTCACTATATTATCAATAGAGCCCAGCCCTAACACCAGAACCCCCAACCCAGGGACCATGAATTTCACAATCTTTAAAGAGACATTCTTGCTCATCATAATTTTGTACTTGGTTAGTTTATTTAATACCCAGGAGCAGAGAAGAAGAATTTCAAAGAATTTATGCATTTTCACTTTATCCTGGGGTCATGAAATTCACAATTTTGGAAGAGGCACTCTTGGTCATCATAACTTTGTACTCAGTTAGTTGTTTAATATCCATGAGCAGAGGAGAAGATTTTCAAAGAAATAATGCATTTTCACTAAATAATCTATATTGCCCCACCCTAGCACTAGAACCCCTGACCCTGGGGCCATGAATTTCACAATTTTGGTAGAAGACTCAATACTGATTACAATCATGCCAACAGTTTGACTGCTTGCTGTCCAGGAGTAAAGAAGAAGATTTTTAAAGATTGCATTAATTTTAGTGGTTTTGGCCCCACCCCTCAGGCCCCAGGGGGGCAGGGGCCATGAATTTCACAATTTTTGTTCCCCTTCACTCATAGATGCTATATGCCAAAATTGGTTGAAATTGGTTCAGTGGTTCCAGAGAAGAAGCTGAAAATGTTCAAAGTTTACGACCCACTGACAACGAATGACGTACGATGGACGACAAGGGACGAAAACAGATAGCAATAGGTCACCTGAGTTTACTCAGGTGACCTACAAACAATTAAACAAAACTGATGCATTGTTCTCCTATAAAACTAGTCACTCTACTCTATTCTGGGGTGACATTTTCCTGCTTAGAATTTGACAATATCTGTCCTGAATTACTTGGAAACAAATACACAAACAAAACTGTGACTTCTTTCCTACTTTATAGTTGGTGGAGAACACCCCTACATAGAACAGAACAGTTAAACAGTGTCCCTTTATTAGAAGATCCAACAATTTACAGGGCCCCTACACATAAGAGTACAGCAATATGGTCCTTATATAGGATAGAACAGTAATAAATAAGGTTCTTAAATGAGAATGTTTAACAATTGACAGGATACCCTCTTCAGAAGTTCCAACAATTAACAGGGGTCCCTCTGTATGACAGTATAGGAATAAGGTCCTTACATGGGATAATAGAGGAATTTACAGGATCTCAATACGGAAAAGTAGAGGAATTTCACATGGGATAGTTCAGGAATTTAAAGGGAACCTTATAAGAGATAATACAGCAATTTGAAGGGAACCTTCCATGGGATAATACAGCAATATGAAGGGATCCTTACATGGGATAATACAGCAATTTGAAGGGAACCTTACATGGGATAATACAGTAATTTTAGGGAAAAGTTACGTACGTGGATAATTTTAGGGAAACCTTACATGGGACAGTATAGCAATCTACAGTCCCTGATTACTGTGGAAGCATTTTAATATCTGTGGTGTTAATGTTTGTGGGCCAGCAAAATTTTACTTCTTCCTGGGGACTTATTTTGTGGCTTCTACTTGTAGATTCAATGAATTAATATGTTTACAAAATTTACATTGTTGGGAATGTATAAGGGTGACCCCCACAAACATAACCCCCCCCCCCCCAGTGACGTAGCATCGTTTTTGAAAGGGGAGGCAGTCTGAGAAAAAATGAGGAAGATGCCAACTTTTTTCAGTACCAATTTTTGCATACAATACTACATTTCCCTGATATAACTTTACTGTAATAACAAGTTGGGGGGGGGACAAGCCTTTCAATGAACATTTTCAATAGTAAAAGTTATGTTGGGGAAAAAAAGGGGGCAGCCCCCCCCCCCCCCCCCCCCCCCGTTGCTACGTGCCTGACACACACAATCATGATAATTCCACAGTATTTTCTGTACAAATTTGTTAAATTTTTATACAGTGTAATTTTCCCTAGTTCACCTTTTTGTCATCAGGAGTCTGGACAGGATAATCTTTTGCTTTCTGGAGGTATGTTTTTGCTGCCATATAATTTTTCATCCTTAGGTGGGTTTTACCAATCATCAGTAAATTCATACTATAAAAGTCAGGATCCACTAAAATGGAAAAAGAAATCTAGAACTTCAACATGAAAAAAAAAAATTTATCTTGCCATATGCATTTCTTAACCTAAAAACTTTATATTACCTAGAGGAGCATCTAACTTATATGTTTCCAAATTACAATCTTCTTATATGTATATTAAGTAGTTTTCTAAATTTAGTGACAAAGGCCTAAATGAAAAATAAAATCAAAATAGACCTTGTGGCTGATTGGGAAACAAGATAACAGTTATAAGTGATCGAATACTGTATACAGAGAAATTTTTGCCGCCATTGTATTTTCGACCCTTTCCCTCTCGTCACAAGCAGGTGAATTCAAAATGCAGCAAAAAATTAAATGAAAAAAGTATTATCTGTCACCTCTGGGCAAACTTAAAATAGAGCAAAATTTCTTGTATGCGTGAAAAGGTGAAAGTAACCCTCTATACAGAAACTTCACCAAAGAATAATTTTAAATGGTAGAATATATTTTTTTTAATATGCTTACCCTCTTCTGCTAGTTGAAAGTAATAAAGGGCCTGAAATGAATATGAAAATTGATATCAGCAACATTGAACAACAGGATATTATCATTTGGAACATTTTCTTTAATAGCAATATCATGTTACATCTCAAAAAGTACATTTCTAGTGATAGTTAACTTGACTATGATTTGCTTTGAGAGGAGACTCGTACATAGCATGAATTTTAAACAAACTGAAATACAATGCGGATCAATTCAAAATTACAGTAAACTTGTTTTGTATGAACATGGATGTTGGGAATTCACAGATATAGCGATGTTGTCTTGGATCCCCAGCTATGTAAAATTAACATATTCCTTATACAGATATAATGAATTAGGGATATAGCAAAGTAATTCCATAGGTCCCAGTGACTTCCAAATATCTGTATCTTACTCTATTTTACATTCAGGGAGAGAACTGTTCAACTCTGTCAGATAGCCTGGAATAAATAACAAGGCTCTTCCAGTAACTTGAACATTTCTTTCTACAACTGAGCCACTAGGATTATAACAATAGCGCCCTGCTTCTTGTAACAGCTGATCCAAGCTTACCTCGGAGTAAGTTGAGGTTGGGGGAGTGGCAAACAGAGCCGCTGCCAGTTTACGTGTGTACCAGGGCAAGTCTGCAAACACAAAACACCTGTAAACACAAATATAGTACCATAACAACTACTGTAAAAAAAACATTTCTGAAGTTTTGGGGAAATACATATATAGGTTCATGGGAATTTGATTTTGTGGATGAAGAATTGGATTTTCATGGTATATCCATGGAGTTCCATGGAAGTTCTACAGCCGGGTACCCGGGTAATATTTGAGTAGTTGTACAAATGAATTTTACATTTTGTGGTAGACAGGAAATTGTGGGTCTGGAAAACCAAGAAAATTAACCCCCACAAATCTTAGTAAAAACAGATTCACTGTACTTTCTTTTGGAAACCCTTAGATTTTGTTGAAAATTTAAAGTTAACGTCATGCAAAAGAAAAGCTTTAATTTTCTTCACAAAATCTTTATCTCAAATAGGTCTTTCATAGCTTTATTTGCCACTCAGATAAAATGGTGTATCATACTCACCAATAACCAATGGAATGTATAGATGTAGCATCTTTAGGATTTAATTCAATAGCTTTCTGAAAGAAAAGAATACTATAACTAGAAATATGTCCATAGGACATGAATGCCCCGCCGAGGATATATTAGTAAAGCAACATGAAAATTTATATGTGAATAAAATTTGATCAGTTTGGTTCAAGTAGGGCTTATAGTTAATAGGGAATAAAAATCTAGGTCAGATCCAGCATCCGAAGCAAGTCTGGTAGTGTCCATCCCTAGATGCATCATCCATGCAAGTTTGGTTCAGGTAGGGCTTATAGTTATTTGGGAATGAAAATATAGGTCAGATCCAGCATCCGAAGCAAGTCTGATAGTGTCCATCCCTAGATACATCATCCATGCAAGTTTGGTTCAGGCAGGGCTTATAATTACTTGGGAATGAAAATATAGGTCAGATCCAGCATCCGAAGCAAGTCTGGTAGTGTCCATCCCTAGCTGCATCATCCATTCAAGTTTGGTTCAGGTAGGGCTTATAGTTACTGGGGAATGAAAATATAGGTCAGATCCAGCATCCGAAGCAAGTCTGGTAGTGTCCATCCCTAGATGCATCATCCCTGAAAGTTTGGTTTAGGTGGGGCTTATAGTTACTTGGGAATGAAATTATAGGTCAGATCAAGCATCCGAAGCAAGTCTGGTAGTGTCCATCCCTAGATGCATCATCCATGCAAGTTTGGTTCAGGCACGGCTTATAGTTACTAGGGAATGAATATGTAGGTCAGATCCAGCATCCGAAGCAAGTCTGGTAGTGTCCATCCCTAGATGCATCATCCATACAAGTTTGGTTCAGACAGGGCTTATAAGTACTTGGGAATGAAAATGTAGGTCAGATCCAGCATCCGAAGCAAGTCTGGTAGTGTCCATCCCTAGATGCATCATCCGTGCATGTTTGGTTTGGGTAGGCTTATAGTTCCTTGGAAATGGACCTGCTCCAAAAACTTTAAACTGGTCACTCATCTGGAAATGTAGGTCAGATCCAGCATCCGAAGCAAGTCTTGTAGTATCCATCCTTAAATGCATCATCCATGCAAGTTTGGTCCAAGCAGGGCTTATAGTTCCTTAGGAATTAACCTGCTCCAAAAACTTTAACCTGGTCACTCATCTGGAAAATGTAGGTCAGATCCAGCATCCGAAGCAAGTCTTGTAGTGTTCATCCCTAGATGCATCATCCATGCAAGTTTGTATCAACACATGAGGTTTGATAACACCATCTTGAATGGTATGTTTAAAACTGAGCTAAACACTAATTTAAGAAAAGTGAGGTCAAGGTCAAAGGAAAGGTCAAGGTCAAAAAATGTTGATGCAGTTGCATAGCTCTCATCAATATCTATCAGCCTATGAAGTTTGATGAAAATATCTTGGATAGTTTCTTTGAAACTTAGCTTTGAACAGAGCTAAACGCAAAGTGTGATGGAAGGACGGAAGACGGACATGACAAACACTATATGCCCCAGCCATATTCATGGCGAGGCATAAAAATTTGTAAACATGTACAAGAAAAATATACATGTATAACAGTATTGCACTATTGTATCTTTATACAGTGTAAATATGTTTTGTAGGATAATGTGTTTGTATAGTGGGGTACATTTTTCTTATTAATAGCCATTCTCTGTAACCACTTAAACTTCGTTGCCACGCATGGTCACCGATTTTGATGAAACTTCACCCATGCTTAGTACTTGACACCAGAAACAAATATCAAACAAAATTTCGTTGCTATGTGTCTTGGTTGCTATGGCAACAGCCGGAAAAGTTTGAAAAATCGAGATTTTCAGCCACTTTAAATCTTGACTGTGTCTTAATAAAAAGTAGAAAAAGCAAACAAACCATTCTCACAAAAATATGACACCTTGATGTCACTTATACTGTAAAGAAACTGTTTAGAATATATCTCTGAGTAAGTGGTAACCAAGGGTACATTTGGAATACATTCAAAATGCTGAAATATGCTGAAAAACACTCTGTATTCACTAATGGTAGGTGTTACATGCTCAAACTCAATCAACGACTTAGGAAAAACAATGAAAATGTTTGACCTTAAGTATATAAGTATAAGCAATATTATTCTAAAAATAACTTTTATGGTTGCCATGGTAACACAGTGTAACCATGCAAAACCAGTAACTAAGATTGGGTTAATGCTACTGTCTTGAGGAAAAACATGAAAATTCAAGACTGGCAAATATGCATCCTTAGGACCTTGCAACACCAAAACCATAAGAAAAATTGGGTATAATTGCTACTTTGCAGTGTTACCATGGAAACAAAGTACCAGTGCTTAAAAGTGAATTATTTTTCGCTGCATTAAGAATTAAATTGCCATATAATCAAGAAACAAATTAAAGGACTCAGCTTGAATAGTATTTATCTGTTAGAACTGAAGTTGAATATCATATATTGAGAAAATTTGATGAATAAAACAACAGTGTTGCTATGGTTACCAAGAAGTGAAAATGTTCGATTTCGTGAATTTTATATCAATATTAAACCCTGTGTGCCAACTTCTTGCATCCACTTAGAGATTGGATGATAGTCAAAATTAAAAGTCAAGTTAGCTGTAAATAAATATCAATCACAAAAGTTTTGGGAATCTACATTTAAGGGTACGTATCCAAGGAAAGAAAATATTTTTCAGGTATTTAAGCATATATTTTCTGCTTATTTCCATAGCAACGCTCTATTTAAGGAATCTTATCTGAATTTTTTCAAATGGGAAAACTTGGAACACTCCAACATCTTATAAAACTGATCATTAGTTATGAGAAAATGTACCTTTTTCAAAAGATAGGATCAGATTTAAACAAACTCTGTGGTATAAAAACCTTGGCAACCATTGCCAACCAAAATGAAATATCATATTTTGTTCTTGGTATATGTTTCAAGGCTCTTTTTTCTATTATTTGGTCACATTTCATCCTATAATTGCTTTTTATTTTTACGTGTATGACTTTATAAAATTCAATAAATATTTTTTTTACTTTTGAATACTTTGTAACCATAGTAACGTATGTAATAGTTGATTTACCAAATATGTTTATCATGCATTTGAGACATCTGACCTTCAACTTTTGGAAACAGTCATTGCCAATTGTTTGCTTTGCCGCAAATGTTAACTATGGGGCTTTAAACATGTTAAAAAATGCCATTTTTCGAACTTTAAGACATGTTGCCATGGTAACTATAAAACATAGCAATCAATTTTTGCCTGATTTCAGTTTAGGGTATCAATGACTTTTATCATAGAGAGTTTGGAGAAATTCTGAGACTATGCGTGCCACAGCTCCTATATAAAATTTCAAATCATTACAGAGAATGGCTCTTAATTTTTGGGGTAATTTTATCCATACAATTTTAATATGTATGTACCCTCACCCCACCCTACCCAGAAAAAAATATAAACATGGCAGAAAAATCACTTTATAAATTGGTCTCTTCAAATTGCTAAAAACATTATTTTAAAAATATACAAATATTCTGATGCAATTTACATTATCTTTTTTTAGCACTTCTAAATCTCTTGACAATGCACTGCAGGGAACAATTTTTTGCAAAAAAAACCTTCTTTACTTTCATTATTCTTTCAAAGACAATCAGTTTAAATGTGTCTTCTATGTGGTTGTTAAATTCGATATTTTAAAATTTGTTTGTCCTGTAGCTCACAGTGAAATCCTAGATTTACAACTCACCAGGAAATGTTTCTTAACCGAGAAGGAATTAGAAATCCTGGCTTTTGTGCCTTCATACTCCCCAGTGTAATCCAGCAACACAGCATACCACTGAAAAATAAATCTGTTTATACAATCCTCCATAAATACTGCCATGCCCTTATAATCAGACTATGACAAGTAAAGATATCTGCAAGGACTTTCAGAAGGGAGACTCAGGATTATTTTGGTCCTGGAAAAGTTCATGATGAAATACAACTGCTAGTAAACAGCTGTCATCCATCAGCAGTCCCTGAAATTGACCAGTGGACTGGTCAAAGACTAAAAACCGATAAATATTGGTACCTTGGACATATTTCTGTCACCTGCAGAGAAGAATAACACTTAAGTAGGGATCATACTTTATCCAGCATCTGTCTTTCAGTCCATCTTTCACATCTTATATTTGAAGAACCATTGTAGGGATTTGATATTTTAGTTTGCATGCAAGAGTTGTTTGGAACATTTATGCAAGTATTTGTAAAATACCAGAAGTAACAACCTTGTGACCATAGAACTTGACCTTTGACCTAATTTTCAAGAAAGTTTACAGCTAATTCCTTGACATTTGAGAATATTGAAACAAGCAATGTATTAATATTAATACAATTAATTAAGAAAATAACCCACTAAATACCTTATGACAAGCAAAGTTCTTGTCATTCAGCTCCAATGCTTTCTTCGCATATTCAAACGCCTCGTACATACAGACTTTCTTGACGTTTTGATCACTGCTGGCCTTGCCCTTGTCGGTGGCTGCTCGCGCCAGTCGCCACATGACCTCGTCATTTTCACAGTCTTTAAATTCAACGAGGTAGTCGTAAAGCTCCTGGACTTTGTACTCAAGGTATAACTTGTCAGCAGTCTCTATCACAATTTTTAATACATCTGGCTTTTCTTCCTCTGCTGAAATACAGTATGCACACAAATTTATTCTTTGATTTGGGCCAAAATAAAATTATAGTTTGTTTGGAATTGCCTCCCGCCTCATTGAAATGCCCCCTCCTGAAAAAATTTTACTGACCAAAAGTAGGAAGATTTTTTTTTATTTAATCAATTTTTTTTTTGCCCATTACATGTATCACATGCACCATACAAAACACTGAAATAAAGTGTCAGATCTATGTAAAATTAGGTTTTCAATTAAAAAAAAAATAATTTCCCTCCCTCCCTCCTATGTCTGAGACCCTTCAGGCGGCAATTCCAAACAAACAATTTTTTAAGGATGGCCTTGATTTGATTTGAACATATGTTATTGTTTAACACAAAAGGATCAGAAAGTCAAACAAGTTCTAACAACTCACAAGTCATATTATAAGTACAGTGAAACCTGTCTAATCTGGCACCTGTGTAAACCGCTTCCCTTTGAATTGTGACCATTCTTTAAATTCTCAATTTATTGCAGTCTATATTCTTTACACTGTGAAATCCAACACCTCATTTATTTACGACAATAAAATTGTCTCCAAGTGCATGCCATCTAGATAGGTTCCACTGTCTAAGTTTTATAGAAGAATCTGAATATTGTGAATATTGAGTGCATTTCTGCAGTTTGTTAACCTTTCTTTTCTTTTGACTTCCCAAAGCTGAAAGCATATACTGTTCCAATTGGAGCTGGCAAACAATATAAATGCCATTGTCTGCATGATTTCTTAAAGTTTCTGAAAAATATCTGAAACATAAAATAAGACATGCATATAAGTCATCTAATGGATATCATTTTAATACCTTATTGAGTGGAGTTTTTCTTTACTACCTAAAATTTAGTGTTCCAAGGTACTGTAAACCAACTTTTATTCGCGACGACTTTATTTCGCGATTTACCCGAAGTAAACTAGTTCGCGACGATTAATTTTCGCGATCAAGCCGTTTTTGGAACTGTTTTAATAGAAAAAGAGACTTTTAGGACCCGTTCGCGGCGTGTTATTCGCGATGACGAGGCTCTCGCGAACTTCGCGAAAATTTCTCGCACGCGAATAAAAGTTGGTTTACAGTAATTGATGGTAACTCAACCTAGTTATAGTGAGGATAATGAAGAGTGATTGATCTATAATAAAAAAAAAATCTTCAAAGAATACAAATCTGAGAATGGCATAAAACACAAATCAGAAGATATGCCAAGGTGGATAAGGTGTGTATGTGGAGTAATCATGCACACCTGCTGTGATCCCTATGTGTTGATCAGCTTAATTTGATGAAACATTTAATAGTCAAATTTAGTATAAAATAGAGGCTTAACAACTGGTACAAAACAAGTCAACCATATAATGACCCAACAACAGGTTAATTTGCTAACAGTCAATATATCAACCATAGAATTTTTAAAAAGCTGGATATACATGGGGTTGTTGAAACCCCTGTAACATCAACTTATCTTATAGTAGCCTGCCTTGGTTTAAAAATTGAGCATATTCAGACTAACATGGTCAATCATCCAAATATGAAACCGATGTTGCCGTCTCTGTGTTGTCTTTTAGTTCAAGTTTAATCAGATAAACACATAGGTAAGTTAACATATGAATGGAATTAAGTATCGTTATATATGATAAAATGTCGATGATCATTTAAACGTGACAGCAAGTGTTTTCTTCTTCTCATATTATGTTTTAGTTGAAATAAAAAATAAAATGCATTTATAGACTTTAAAGTAAATACAACTAACAACTAGCAGCTGTCAAATTCTTGTAATTTATCATGTGAGATTCCCTTTGACCAGATCACTGTTGACAACTGGTTGAACTCGAGGTCAATAAACTTAACAATCGTGAAGATATACTCACCTGTCGAATACATTGAAGTTTCCTATATGGCTGGAATTTACCCAGTTTTCTGCTCAAAGAGAGAGCAAACACGTTTGTTACTGTAGAAAACATTATTAGGAATTGTTGAACTTGAAGTCTGTTGCTGTCTGCATCTCCCACAGCATAGACTTTTTAAATCTTCTTATGTTGAAGAGTCGCAGGTGTTTCTTAACATAAAACAAAACCTGGCGCAGTCGAACGAAATCAGTTTCTTGTTTGTAATTTCATAGGATGGTAACAAAAATACTTTTAATCAATTTGAGATGTACAAACATCCACCCACATGATTACCGTTTCATTTTAACAGCTGTTTAAGATTGAACTTATTTCGATTATCCCCCTTTTCGCTAACTCTTTAGGAGTAAATTGACAAAAAAAGTTTGCCACGAAATATCGAGGGAAGAATTTTTGACAGGCGAGCCAAGTTATTTTTGGACCGAAAAAATGTATGCCTTTGGCCATAAACAGTAGAAATATGGTGTAAACAAAAGGCTCAAATCGTTACGTAGAATGATATTTTCTAATTTCCTTTGATGTGAACTAAAAAATCGATAGCGGTGAAACGATCGGTGTTAGGAAAATTCCACCCTGCGAGTGAATTATATGTTTTGAATCTTGGCACACTGAAGCATAATGTCGTCTCTACGTTTTACGGTAACAAAGGCAAGTGAAGAATCGCCAATCGGTGAGGGCAGTGATTCCTATGGGTCTGTACCCTTTTCATCAAAGAATGGAAAAATTGCAGGTAAGTTAATAGTAATGCTTAGATTAGAAGATTCTGTGAGCAGGTGAGCTGCACAGAAGTGCCTGATTTGTGTATTTTGATGTAACAAGAGACCATTTATTATACACACATTTCATAACAAAGGCCTAAAGACACATTAGAATATATTTTTAACCCACAAGTCAGTATAAGTGAGTCTTAAATGAAGTTCAAAGAAATTACATAAATAGTGCTGTAGTATGATATCTGTATTTGTATCTTTGATCTTGAAAAAATGATTTTGCAAAATTTCTTTATCAGTTGAAGATCAGCTAGAAATAAAGTAAGCATATTGGTGTAATATCAATATAGAAATCATGTAAACTATTGGCAATTTATGCAAAACTTCCAAATTAAACATTAATTTGGTGTATCTTTATCATATAACTCAGGACAATTTATCTGATACACTTCAAAAACGTCTCAGACACAAATTTTCAATGGTTAAATTGGGAGATGAATTCTATGAATATATCTTTCTATAGAATTGAACAATGACAATAGATGAAATAGTGCATGTACTATGTTCAAAACTTTGAGCATATATTCCTCAAAACCTGAGATTCTTTTGAAGTTCAGAACATCTAGTAACATGTACCACTCTAGAGATTTAATAAACAAGTCAGTGTTTTGATAGTTTATATATGCTGATTGGCTTGACAAACTAAGTCAGTTGGGGGTTGATTTGTTATCTAGATCAATATATTTCCTAGGAAACAGGATATCTATAATGCTGAAGGAAGTGACATAACTCGAAATCTTTAGTCAATTAATTTGATACATGCATCAATGGCACTGATATGCATAAATGTGAATCTTAATTTCTATAAAATGTATTTTTTTATTTGAATATTTCTATTTTTCTGAATATAATTACAGAGTAAATTAATCTATCAACACTATCAATTTTTATCTATAAAATGATAATAAAGAATATTTATTATATAATCATTTATTGATTTAAATTGATAATAGAATGAGTTTCTAAACATCAAAGAATACATATGGTATATATGTCTTAAAATATGTTTTATAGACTGTGCTTAACAATTAATATGTAATGTCAACTATATATGTACATGTAGATGCTTGTTTTCTCTTATTTGTGGTGAGTAAAATTTTGTATTTTGTTGCTATCCTTTTTTTAATTTTCTTTTTCTTTCATGTCCTGTTTCTTCACACCAACTCCACACACTATAGGACAGTATGGAGCTATATTTGGTAATGTCACTAACCATATTTGTAACATTACTTGATATAATCAGAAATTTTAATATTTCAATCATAGAAAATGAGCTAGTGCACTGCCATTTCTTTGTACCTAACTTCCATAAGCTACATGTCTTGTGCAGAGTTCCAACATCTTTAATGTGTCTCTGAATATTTATAACCTGTTTAACAGAATGTGTCACATCCAAAAAGGGATGAAAACAGATGGATGGAAAGAATGACTGTATACAGTAATTATTACTAAAAAAAAGGGGAATAATTAAACTTTAATGACCATTAGCCCAACTAAGCTTACTAAGCTTTTCTGTAAGCTTTACACATTTCTTGACCTTCTCAAGAAGCATTTTATAATTTATTATACAAGTTATTCATAATACAAACAAAGTTAGGACACTGAATATTCTTGGGTATATGCTCCCTTCCAAAGAAAGATAATCAGGAAAATGCAAACATAGATTCAGAGGCCATTTTAAAAATATCTTTTAGAACATCTTGGCCAGATGATGAAACATTATAAAAAAATAAAGACAGTGTTAGTATATACTGATTAGTTCAAATAATCTCTCTTGGGGTTAGGGTGGACTGATATGGGGTTCAGAATTTTAGGAGACATATGAGTATAATAAAAAAAGACTTAATTCTCAAGGCCAACAGTGCATATAATGACACTTGACACTATGATGATTCTCAAGTGTTCAAATCATGACCCAGTGAGGTCACAATACAAGTTTCAATTAAAAGTTTTACATGAAAATACAGTTAAACCTCATTGTCTCAAACTTGATTGATTTTTTACAGAGAAAAATTTTTTGGGGGACATCTGGATATTCGAGATATTGAGAGTAAATGGCTTATTAATAAATATTAAAGAGTTGAGACAATCAAAATTACTTCAACTGATATCCATGGTGTAATAGACATATTGGTGTTTGAGATACCAAACCAAAGTCAAACTATATGGGAAAAGAAAATGTTTTAGATTTTCCTCTCAGTTTAGAACATTTTCAAGTCTGTATTTTTGTTTTCATAATATTGGCAGTATGTATGGGCAAAACAGCTACCATATTTGTTATTACAATATTGAATTTTATATAATCATTATAAAATTATGAAAAATATAATGTTTTTTCCTTAATTTGCAGGATGTGACATAAATTAATCTTTTTTCATATTTTATTTCTTTAAAGTTTTGCATTGTATAGATCGAGTTAAGAATTCATTATGATAAATTGGAAATTATTAAAATGAAACTCTGCAAAAGGCATGAATATTATATAATAACCCAAGTTTATATAATATCACCATTTCACAGACTTGTTTTTTCAAAAATATTGAATCAGATAGTATAAGCGTATTAGAATGTATTTCATACCTAATCATTGAAAATAAGCATATTATTAAAGTAATTAAGATTTATGACTCTATAATCTTACTACATGTATTAGGTGAATATTGAAAGATTGGTAATGGTATTATTTGTACAGTGTATATGAATATTTATTGCATATTTATATAACAAAGTTCTAATTTTGGTGTTGGATTATTAAATTAAATAATATCAATCAGCTAGTATAGGAAAAGACTATGTTTACACTTATAAAGTGATAAAACAATTGTTGATAATTTGGGGGAAAAAATGCTTTTTGATTAATTGATGAGGACAAGGGTCAATTAACGTTTGCATTTTGGTATATATTAACAAATAAGCCTATATGTTCTTTGATTGCCTAGAGGTATATCTTTACATGAACATAAGACAGCAATTTTGACTCAAAGATGTATTATTTGAATGAGAGTTATCTTTCCTTTGTCATTTTTCATTCTGATATGATATAATTATGTACATGTTAAGGTACTGGATTTGGTCCCCCACCCCACCAAAATTAAGGGATTGTCCTTTCCAAGGTTTCGTGTTCTAGGGTTTCAGTTTGTTTCAAATTCACTTACATTTCATCCAATTGGTTAACCATGTACCAAGCATTTTGATCGACAATTACTAATTTAAACAGATGATTGTTTTTTCTCCCCGGTCCAGCAAGAATTTGAACTAGTCCCTTTCCACCTTTTTCATCAAGAATAATGATATCCAGTCCGCAATCTCTCTCTTATGACCCATTCTCTTCATTCCCTTTTAAGGCTTTCAATGAAAAATGATAATGATCATGATCTTCTTCCCATTTCTCTCAACTGCCCATTAAAAAAAATACGTACATGACTACCTGTTATAACTTTGGGATGTGAACTTCACATATAAATAGGTTTTATTTCAATTTATTCAAATTTTGAGATATGTTCTTATTTCAGTGTAAGCATTATTGAGCCAAATGGATATAAAATTCAATTGTCAATAAAAATAATAAATTTAATGTTTGTAAGTACTATTCCAGGTACATGCAATTAAAAAAAATAAAGGTTAGTGTTAAATGTCGACCGAGATTTTGAGAAAGAAGATTTTTTTTCTTGTACTTAAGTTTTCAGATACTGTAAGTCGTTTTAATTCCATGGTGTTAAAATTTCACGATTTCTCAACAGAACAAAGAGAAATTAAAACCATCGGGATTATTTGCCAATTTACAGTATACTCTGTATTTTCTTCTTATACATTTGGTTATATAAGCTGTATTAAATTAATGTGATGTTTCCATCCAAATACAGAATGCATGCATGCATGCTAGATATTTTTCATCCAATTAGTACTGGTCTTCCTTCATCAATAGGCTAGGGGATGTATGAAGATATTACCTCCTGCTGTGTAATAAAACCCAGATTGCCTGCTCACTAGACATTGTACTTCAAAGTGTTCTCTGACATAACGATATAATCTTAAAGCTGGTATCAGATCAGGATTTTCTGTATCTCATGTCGTTGCATCATTTATTATAGATGAGAGGGTCATGATAGATGGTACACTGGACTAATGTTATGTAAAAATTGTGTACTAATGCTAAGAGTTTTATCTCAGATCTGACATAGAATATACCAGTTAAGATATATGGGGGTAGCTCGTGAGATTTAGGATTTTGATGATGGATAGGTCAATTTTAAAAATTTAATTTCATTGATATGACAAATGGAATGAAAAAAGAAATGAATAGATAAAATGAAGAGATTTACAATAATTATGTTTATTGAATTTTTCAGAAACTGTAAAATCTGTGACTGAAAAAAAATTTAGAATAAGGATAAATGGGAGAAGAATTTATCATTCTTTCAAGTAATTGAAGATGTTTTTGCCCTAATATTCTGTTATTTATGGCAAAAACTCAAAATGCTGGTTATCTAGTGTATGTTTGTGTATTTTGAGAAAACAGTAGGACAAATATTTTTCTAAAAAAGAATTTCGGCTTTTAACACCTGCAATATTATTGCTTTGCAAGGCTGCACACTAAAGATGTTATTTAGAGCTAAAAAAAAAATAAACAATGTAAACCAAAAATAACCGGGCAGAGTGAATGAGTGTGAAAAAAGATTTCGATCTACTTGGAAAAAAGCAAAAGTAACTGGTTTTGTATTTAAATAACAGCATAGAGAAATCGTTACAACCCTAGTAAGCCAAGTTCTAATGTAAATAAACTTATTGACGTCAAATAATTGTAGGCAGGCTTTGTATGTTATAGACAAAGGTAAATGAGCATAAAACAGTTGATTTGTATGTGGTATTGATATTTACTCTGTGTGTATGTTTGTTTTACTGAATAGTGAGTGTATTATAGTGATTTATTTGAGAAAGTTGAGCATACCATTAAGAGAAATTTGACGTGTATTATTAGCTCACAGGAGCGATAGACTAAAGAGAGCTCAATTTCTGAAAAAAAAAATTGTTCATTGCCTGTCCTTGTTTTGTCATCATTGTAAAATTTTCACAATTAATCATTTTTTTCTCCAAACACACTGGCAAATTTCAACCAAACTTGGCACAGAGGATTCTTCAATGAGGCAGATTATCTTCTCATATGATGGACCACACTTTCTTCCAATGGAAGATAATCAAAAATAGTGCAAACTGGGTAGGTTAATTACAGATACATTCAAATTTCTTCAAAGAGTGACACTATCAAGGTTAGCAGAGGCCCAGGGGGAGGGGGAGAAAGGGTGGCAAGATTAAGGCCAAAATAAGGCATGACATTTTTATATGCAATTGATTAAATAGGGGAAAAACTAAATATCAATTATTAGCCCAGTTTGAGATTACTCTTGATATTAAAGTAAACCTTGTTATCTCAGACTTCATGGAATCGTTAGAGAAAAAAAAAAGAGAAATATCTAAGGATTCAAGATGTCAAGGGTAAAATATTTAAAAAATATGTAGTTAGGACTTCCAAATCACTTCAATATATCCATGGTACTTGAGATATTGGTGTTTGAGTCATGAAAAAATTCAACTGTAAACCATAAAAAGTCATCTCAATGAAAAAATGATGAGGATCAAGCTGCAGGTATTCACAACTAGAGGTACTGTGAGCAATGAGCTCACGAAATGATACCCCCCACCTCCCATTTGAATATAATGGCACTGTCCATGTTTTGCTATGGGAAACCCAAAATATGTGTTGGAGTAAATTAGGAGGTGCACATTGGCAATATGAAATAAAGATTCTTTGAAAGTTTCATCAAATTTCATTCAGTGGTATGAGAGGAGTTGCTGATAAGAGATTGGTACCCCAAAGCGTAACAGACGGATGGACAGACAGACGTACACAAGGACGGACGGACATACCGATTACTATATATCCTCCCGCTTTTCAAGCGGGGGGTATAATGATACATGAATACAATCCCATGGCATTTAATGTAATACATTATCCAAGTTAGTTCAAATCAAATGGCACCATTTTTAAGCTGAAGCATTTTGATCTGTTGGTGAGCATTGCTGTCCATGGGCCTCTTGTTAGTATGTTTCAGAAATCCTTAGCATGAAATATTATTTGAATAGGAAGGAAATCAGATTGTGAATGAGATTTGTTAGCTGCGCACTTTTGTCTATACGTACAGACAGTCTTTTAGCTATAAATAGCATTACAGATGTTTGCACAAAGATTAAAAAACAGGATACAAACTTGCAGAAGAAAATTCTGCGCTCTGAGATAGGGAGAGGGTTTATGTCTCTGTGTTGTAAATTGTAATATTCAAGTCAAATTTGAATATGGAGATCAAAGAGTATATGTTATCTTTGCAATATGAAGTCAATGTAATCTGCAGATTATAAATTTTCGAGTTTATAAGTATTATTTGTTACACTAACCTATGTTTGCTGTATATATAATTTAATTAATATAAATAAATTCAAATTATAAGCGGAATTGCCCTTATCTGCCCTATATATAACTTCAGAGAAGAAAAACAATTCATGACATCATTCCTTTTTAGAAGAAGTTTATGACGATTGTGCTAATATAAATAAAAATACCCAATAAATATACATGTATTCTTGTCTTAATTTTTAGATTAAATTTTTATTTAAAATTTCATACTGCTCATTTATCAATTTAAGGAAAATAGAAATAATGCCCAGAAGGTCACTCCTTGCAAAAAAAAAAATCATTTTGAATATCAAATAAAGTCCATCCAAGTTTGCTTGTGGTGCATTTTGTATCAGATAAAATACAAAGACGTAATAAGTCGCTCCTTTTCAGAAAAAAATCATTTTTTAATATTAAATAAATTGCGAATTTTTTGTTGTTTATTCTGATAAAATAAGCCCTCCTTGCCAGAAAAGGAATCATTTTTACTAATTATATAAAGTGCAAGGTTACTTCTGGTGTATTCTATATCTCATAAAGTAAAATCTTGGACAGCTGATAGTTAGAAGGTCTTATCATCACATCCCTTGCTTCTGCTCGACAAAACGGGGGTCCCGACCTCTCTCAATTCGAACTGTGTCCTCTTATCATTGCGTTATCATGTAATAGCACTCCAAATGTCAAATAAATGTTTCTGTTTGACAGAGATTTTCAAATATTAAACTGGAGAAATCTCTTGCTTAGACCTCTTTTTAAAATCATTGTTAATGGCTAAACACGATCCTTGTCTTTTCAGACTTTTAAGATGGTGTACTCTTTTATTGTCAAGAAGTAATAGGATGGCAATCTGATTTTTTTTTCTGCTAAATAATTTGGTAGCTAGGGTTTCTTCTGTTTTGATTACATTTGGTGCAATCAGCAAAAGAACATCTTTATTATTGTCGTCAGTGTTTGGGTTATTTTTTATCTTGATTCACAGATCGCATGTCTGGACAAAAGATAATAAGTATCTTGAAAACATCTAACAATAATATTTAGTATCCATATTAAGACTAGAGAGCAATTTAACAAACACTAGAATAATTCAAATGAATGAGCCAAAAATAAAATTACCATGCATTTTATCTTGTAAGGATCGAAATTTTCATTGAAAAACAATATTTCACTGCATATTAGAGCAAAGTGATGCATGCTTTGATATGGACACTGATTGAGTTATGATTTTAACTTTGTTGTGGCAGACTACGATATTTTATTATCAATGTTGAGGAAGGTTATATAAGCTATAATTGTCTCCTTGAGGAGGCAGAGACTGGATGTTTATGACTTAGGAACAGCCTGCTCGAGATATTTCTCCCGACTGTTGTGAGATGGAAACATGATGCAATTATATTTTACTCTTATCTCAGTCTTTGGCCTGAACATCTCAATCTTTTGCCTGAGCACAAAGAGAAGGAAATATTATTTACATTGTGTGACGGATGGTGCAAAAACATAAGGGAAATAAATACTGTTTTTTGTAGTGAATTTTACCCAAAAAAATTGACTGGCATACATAATATTGCTGAAGCTAATTGCAAACATCATACGCGAATTGTGAGAAGGTGATGAGGTAATTGTTTTCTCACCTGAGCCTCCTTGTTGAAAACTTTTCATTTGTGGAGAGCCAAAAGATTTAAGAGGGGGGAAGATCTCACAGGAAGTGTTTACGGCATTAATGGATCAATACCCAAAGATTAGCTCCGGGAAAGTCATCGAAAATATATACTTTTTTCCGACACTTTTGAAAGCAGGGTTAAATGTCTGATTTGAGGATAATGAACTCTTATGAGGATGTTAAACACACAGATGAGGATGTTTTTTAATGGCCGTTGTTTCAAAGAGGGGGATTAGGAGGTAGCAGTATTGATATTTAACCAATGTTTTGGCCGATTATATAGGTACTATAGCCTCTTGGAAGAATATTCCTTGTGTGGATTTAGATGTTTACAAATGTTGTGCAATCGTCTTATTCTGCAGGATTGAGAATATTTATGATCACAAAGAAACCGTTACCTGTATATCATTCTGTGTAAGAACTCTTCAGAAAAAAAAGAAAAAAAAAATTCCGCAATACTAAATCAATAATGACAAAATGCTGAAAAATCAACATGTTTTTGCACTCTGGCCATAAACTATTGTCATCAGAGCAGCACCATGTAATTAAATATGATACTGTATGTGCTGAATGAAAAATGAGTGGGAAATAGCAGTATTTGGCAGTTAAATCCTGTTTTTTTCTCTCTTTTTGAGTTTGTGTTTAGTTGGAGATTTTGTGCATCAGCGAGATAACTGACTGATACACATTGGTCACAAACACTCAGGTGTCTTCAGATCAAGGCGATAATATTAGATAAAACTGGGACGCTTATTTTCAGTTTTGGGGGGCAGTTTTGTGTTGCCTGGTATTGATCTATGGTTTTAAAAATCGAAAAAGATTTCTTTATACCAAGAAAGACTCTTATTTTATTGTGTGGCAGATCGGATGACTTCTCTTCATAGGGAGAAAAAAACATATTGCGTAATATCCCTGTTTAGTCATGGAGTCAAGTGAAAATGGAGATAAAGGATTTAATGGAGAAGCGGAGAGTGGAGATAATGAGACTCATGTGGAAGACTCCGAGAGTTCCACTTTGTTATCCTCTTCCACGCCTGCGGAAGATGAGGGTGGAAATTTAGTTCAGGGAGAGTATAGGGGCAAATTCCAGGTCACCCCAGCCATTGTAGTCCATGAGGTGGGGATAGATCAGAATGGTAAACCGTACAAGGTGGATATTGATGAGGAGCATGGTAAATATATCCTTGAATAATCTTGTGTGGATAGTAAGGTGGATATGTATGATGATTTTGGTTATTATAATATCCTTTGGTAAAAAAAATGTGAATTATAAGTGAGTGGATATATTGATGTTGAGAAGGGTAATAATACATAATACAGCTTATAATATTTTTGTGGATAGTAACTGGATATTTAAGATGACCATGGTAAAAATTTCCTTTTATAATCACATGGATAGTTGTGCAAAAAAAGGATGGGGGAGGTTAGGAGAGGGAGGTGGAAGGGGAAATACATGCAAAGTTTGATATGATATATTAGGTATGACATATTGTTTTGAAAATATTTTAGATGATAAAGGTGTTAAATGTTATCTCTATGGTATGAGGAAATCGAGGGTACAATGTGTACTTATCTACTACATGTATAATGTAAAATGCAGTCAGATATTTGTATGGCTGTAAAAATATTTTCTGAATTTGAATTTTTAAAAAAAAGTTGATGTTAGACAAAATTTAGCATCCATTAAGTAAACATATATGCAGGTGAGAGCTTGATATGCTAAAGAAAGGATGGCATCTATTAATATAGTCCTCTGAAATTTGAATCACAATACTCGGAATCAAATTCAAGTTAAATGGATGCAATAAATGGAGTTTTAAATATCATATGTTAAAAAAATATAGAATAATTGTTAATGACTTAAAATTCACAGATATTGAAAATGGAATTGATTTTCTATTTTCTTTAGGCAGGCCAAGTAGACACAGATCTTAAATAAAAAGTATGTTGTATTGCATGAGTTATATATATGCTAAGATACTTTGTGAGGAAGTTTGAGATATGCAGTGACCCGTGACAAGTTGCATCATTTAAGTTCCATTAAACCACATGTAATTAATACCAGAAAAGTGTTCTAAGTGACCTTTCAAGATATTATCTGACAACAATAAACCTTGAGAGTAACAAAACAAATTTAAATATGATCATTTTTATGATAAAGTAAAATGCAGTGTAGTTTTTGCTGTAAACAATTATGTTGCACTGAATAAAGACCCCCAAATGAGTTCAACAAAGCCACCTTTTTGACACAGAGCAATTTCTTCACTGTTTGTAAAGATGTTTTATTTTATTTCTCAATTCATTGGTTGTTTTGACCAGGAACACAGAACAACAGCAGTGAAATATAAACATGCAGATTTTTTTTTTCTTGACATATCTTGTTATCTCTTGTCTCAGTAATGAATATGTGCAGGGTTTCATTCCTCAAGAATGTTTTCAGAGTAAAAGTATGTAATATGTACATACAGCCAAACATGCATCAAACAAGCATGCTATAGTGAATTGACACTTATGATAGCCAAGTGATTTTCATTCTCCATGTTTTCAAAATTTGTTAACAGATACATTTGTATAACAAATTACATTTATAAGGAAGCAAAATCTTCCCTCCGTGGCACTTGGTTTTAAGCATGTTCGACTGTATTTGATATCTGCGTATCACGAACAAGATGTACCTGGTACAGACGAAGTCTTGCAGCAGATCTAGAGACATGTGAAACACACACTTTTCTTAGAGATTAAACAATGGAAGTCAATTAAGCAGATGAAATGCACTTTTAAATGATAAAAAAGATGAACAATGCAAGTCTATAAGATTCCAATAATTAGTACATCAGATGACAAGACAAACAGTGTATGGCAATTGGTGCAAGCGAATTTGTTTTTCTTTTCTTTCTCTTATTTGTTAGTTCTTTTGTTTGTATTTTGATAATTTTGACATAAAAGCAGGTGAGAACAATAGGGAAAGGCTTGCAGTCTTTATTCAGTTATACCAAAGAGAAAATCTAGAAGGTTCAGGAGTCTTGGATTGCAATGTTTGTTGATGCCAAGAACTAATTGCCTTGGAGAACACACAGTGTTTGTACTAAATGCAGAAAGCAGACTAAAGGCTTGATTTAAGCATGCTCAAAACTTGTTAATAATGTCATTTTTTGTATGTTATGTCGCACTCAGTGTGAAAATTATGAATTATAAAGATGTAATTGAAGCTGAAACTTTATTGATCTTTTCTGCATGGTCAGATGTTTAAGGTTCTTGAGAGTGGGGTTCAGATTTGAATTTTCATGTCTCTATTAACAAGCGTTGTTTTAGGAATTGGAAATTATATTCTCATTTAGTTAATAAGTTACAGTGAATGCTTTGATGATCATGCAACTTTAAGTTGAAGTCCTCCATTGCTAAGTGACATTCATACTAAAGTCTCAGATATTGAGCAAATATTTAATATTAACATAGGGTTCCAGGTGAATCATATTTCAAAGCATCAAGGTAAATGTGTCTTTCTCTGTTGTATAACAGTAATTATTTGAGGAGTGGCTTTTTTGCTGAATTCTGCCATTTGCTGCTCATTTTCTGTGTTGTTATTGACAATTTAAAGTTGAACACAATATGACTTTGGGATTCAATATAGACTTAAATGCTATGTTGTACCCTCTTTTTACATTTATTGAAATTAATTTTATTGCACAAACTTTAGATTGCCCCTTAAGTTTGCTCTGCTAACAAGCACTCCAAAACAGTTCTGGAATATTGAAAAGTTTTAATATATATTTAATTAATATGTGATATTTTTAAATAGCTAATTGTTAGTATTGTAATCTTTAGTTGTGCAGAAAATTGAAGTCTTTTTAATTGGTATGTATTAAAAGATGTTAAGAAATTCAAGAAATTGTGTAATTTTTATTTATTTACTAGGATGCCCCTTTTTTCCAACATCAAATATCAAAAAAGCATTAACATCCAAATGTTTGTCTATTATCAAAAGACAAAATTAATTCCAAAAAGATCTGCTAACAGGGGGGATGTTCTTGCATAGAAAGTTTTCTTAAAAATTGAATTCTTTTTCATCCAAATTTCAATTAATATATTTTAAAAATTCAGGTCATTCATACTTTTGTAAATCCGAGCTTATATAAAACTGAAGGGAAAAATTGGTTTATTGGATTAAGATGGATATTTTATTGATGAGTAGTAAGTAATCTGTGAACTGCAGGACAGTATCATTAAGGTCTTCCGTTTCCAACGGAAGACCTTATTGTTTTCGTTCTGTTTCTTTTTCCCTATTATTATTATTATGTCGCCCCGAACGAAGTCGGGGACGACATATTGATATTGTACGCATGTTTTTTTTATCCAGGCTGTTTCTCGGAGATGGCTGGGACAATCTTCCTGAAACTTTCCTTAAAGGACGATCACTGGTTGTAGTTGTGCAGTGAGGTCGTTCAGTTCCAATATGTCTACCGTTGCCATGAAAACCTGTAAAAAGCGACAAATTTTGTCCGAGAGTGTTCTCTCTGGTCCCTTAAACGTTCGTCATGAAACTTTTCTTATTTTAATGATTAGTATCTGTAGTTCTGCAACTCGTATTTAAAATTTTCATATAATCGATTATTGCCATGGAAACCAGGTGAAAGTTAAAATTCTTTAATTTCGATTTTCTCAATAACTACTCAGGCAATCGTTTTCAAACTTTCAATGTTTATTCCTTGCAATGTGTCAAAGTGATTTCTACTTTCAAAATAATTGTAATGAGTCGATCACGGTTGCCATAGAAACGAAACAGAAAAAAAGATTCAGATGTACACATGTGTTCTCCAAGGTCTAGGTCAAAGGGTCAAAGTTCGTCGTATCCAATAAAAGTTCTTTTCACAAGGATTACATATTTGAAATACGAAAGCCCTAGTACTTACCGTTCAAACGTTATGGCTATTTACTATGTTCAAGACGACCCCCCCCCCCCTTTTTTTTGAAGCACACAGCCAAGTAGAATACACAGATATGACATATACAACTTACAAGTAACTTTTTAAAATCTTCATTCATAAAATTCAGTTCCGGTCATGTGATATTTTGCCATCATTCATTCTCCTTCTGTTTTGTCTCTTGAATTTATAAATATTTTATTTTATCTATATAAAAAAAAATAACGATTGTCAGCTGCATTTATTATCATTTCGCGTTTTCTTGTATATCTATCACTTGTATATTATTCATTTCATTAGATAGTGCAAGTATAAATTAAAAAATTGGTACGTCATTTCCATAGTTTTTATTCATTCATAAATTCTTTGATCCGCTCCTGATGGTTCGCAAAGCCTTGATCACCACTGTATACAAAACATTCATCTCGCCGAAAATGTTCATGATTCCGCTAAACTGAGAAAGTTCACACATGATTTATTATCTCATAACACACATCAGCTCTCTGCAATGCAGAAATGCTCGAATTGAAGGGGAAAATTCAGGAGTTATTGATGAGAAAAATGTCGCCCCGAACGAAGTCGGGGACGACATATTGATATTGTACGCATGTTTTTTTTATCCAGGCTGTTTCTCGGAGATGGCTGGGACAATCTTCCTGAAACTTTCCTTAAAGGACGATCACTGGTTGTAGTTGTGCAGTGAGGTCGTTCAGTTCCAATATGTCTACCGTTGCCATGAAAACCTGTAAAAAGCGACAAATTTTGTCCGAGAGTGTTCTCTCTGGTCCCTTAAACGTTCGTCATGAAACTTTTCTTATTTTAATGATTAGTATCTGTAGTTCTGCAACTCGTATTTAAAATTTTCATATAATCGATTATTGCCATGGAAACCAGGTGAAAGTTAAAATTCTTTAATTTCGATTTTCTCAATAACTACTCAGGCAATCGTTTTCAAACTTTCAATGTTTATTCCTTGCAATGTGTCAAAGTGATTTCTACTTTCAAAATAATTGTAATGAGTCGCTCACGGTTGCCATAGAAACGAAACAGAAAAAAAGATTCAGATGTACACATGTGTTCTTCAAGGTCTAGGTCAATGGGTCAAAGTTCGTCGTATCCAATAAAAGTTCTTTTCACAAGGATTACATATTTGAAATACGAAAGCCCTAGTACTTACCGTTCAAACGTTATGGCTATTTACTATGTTCAAGACGACCCCCCCCCCTTTTTTTTGAAGCACACAGCCAAGT